AGAACACTAATACAGAATAAGCCTGTATTTGTAAAAGGAAAAATGATTTATGTCTATATTTTTTCACATATAAATATAATGGGAAACTGGGTGCCGGTGGCTTACGCCTATAGTCCTAGCTACTTGAGAAGCTGAGATCAGGTGGATCGCTGTTTGAGGCCAGCCCCAGGAAACAGTTTCTGAGATCTCATCTCCAAAGTAACTAGAGCAAAATGGCTCAAGTGGTAGAGTGCCCACTTTCCAAGTGCAAAGCCCTGAGTTCAGTCCCACCAAAACCTAAAAATAATAAATCAATGTAATAGGAGCTGAGTATGGTGATGCATGCCTGTAAATCTCAGCACTCATGAGGCTGAGACAGGAGAATCAAGAATTTGAAGCTGGCCTGGGATACGTAGCAAGACTGCTTCAAAACACACACACACACACACACACACACACACACGGTAGAAATGGTGGTTCATGCTCTGTAAGACCAGCATGGAAGAATGAGGCAGAGGATTGGGAGTCTGCAGCCCACCCCGAGTTGCATAGCAAATTCCAGGCCAGCCTGGACTACACGGCAAGACCCTGTCTCAAACAAGCAAAACACTCAAATAAATGTAAAAGGAAAAAGAAAAGAAGACACTAAAATGTTACTTGTGCTCTATCTTTGGGTACTCATATGACAAGTGACTTTTTTTATTTGTTTGGTTTTTGGCAATATGAGACTTGTACTTGGGGCCTTCACTTTGAGCCACTCCACCAGCCCGTTTTGTGTTGGGATTTTTCGAGATAGGGTCTCACAAACTATTTGCCCAGGGTGGGTTGGAACCTCGATCCTCCTGCTCTCTGCCTCCTGAACAACTAGAATCACAGGCGTGAGCCACTGGTGCCCGGCTTGACAGGTGACTTTTTAAATCAGATTTTCTTTTAAAGATGACACATTAACATGGTTCAAAATTGAAATAGTATACAGTGTTATAAAGTGATGGTATTTCTCCCATCCCTGTCTCTCAGTCACCTAATTTCACCATGCAGACAACCTGTGGGGTGCTGATTCCTTGTGGGGTAAGTTTTCCCAGAGATTTCATGCAAATTAAGTATCTGCTTTTCCCTTCAATTTTTATGCAAAAGAGCACATATTTTATTTATATATACTTTTTTCTATACCTAGCTGCTTGTTGTTGATATAGCTTAGAGATCAACTCTTTATCAATACATAAAGAACTTTTTCATTGTTTCCAGGGATCTAGTATGCCATTGGCTATACCTGTATCTATATAGCTCTTCCCTTATGGATGGACATTGTAGTAGGTAGATGTAGTGGGTTGAATTATGTCCCTCCAAAAGGTGTGTTCAGGTTGTAACCCCCCAGTCCCTGCATGTTACTGTATTTAGAAAGGGGGGCCTTTGCAGATATAATTAAGGATTTCAAGATATTGTCATCCAGGATTTAAAATGGTCCCTAAATCCAATGACAGATGTCCTAATAAGAAGAGAGGACACACAGACACAGTGGGAAGGCCATGCAAAGATGAAGGCAGAGGCTGGAGTTTTGCTGCTATAAGCCAAGGAATACTTAGAGCCAGCAGGAGCTAGAAGGATTCTGGCCTAGGCTCTGGGAAGGATCACGGCCCAGCTGAAATCTTGATTTTGAACTTCCAACAAGGAAAAAATAAGAGAATAAATTTCTGCTGCCTTTTTTTTTTTTTTTTTTTTTGGTGGTACTGGGGATTGAATTCAGGGATTCCCACTTGCTAGGCAAATGCTTTACCACTTGAGCTATGACACCCCACCCCCTATCCTTTTGGGGGTTTTTTAGCTTGTTTGTCAAATTAGGGTCTTGATCTTTGCATTTTTCTGTCTAACCCAGCCTCAGATGGAGATTCTTCTACCACTAACTCTGGAGTAGCTGGGATTACAGGCCATGCTCAGCTAATTTTTAAGATAGGGTCTTAATAACTTCTGCCTAGGCTAGCCTCAAACCTCGATCCTTAAATCCTCACCTTCTGAGTAGCTGGGATCACCACACCAGTTAAATTTGTGTTGTCTTAAGTCACCTGCCGTGTAGAAATTGGTTACAGCAGCTTTACAAAACTAGTGCAGAGTTGAACTTCTAAGCTGGTCCTTAGTGGACCTTGCCTCCTGGTGTCTACACCAATGTAACTCCCTTCCCTGGAGTGTCAGCAGAACCCGTGACTTGTATCTACTCATTAGACTCAGCAAAGGCGACAAGATCACTTCTGAAATTCAGACCATGACTGCTGTCCGCAGAAACTCTTTCCCCTGCTCTCATTGATGAAGCATGATGCCAAGTTGTAAACTACGCAGAGGCCCAGGGGACAAGAAAGTGAGAGTGACTTCTGCCCCACAGCCACAAGGAACTAAATCCTGCCAAGAGTCCCGTGGGTGAGGGTGGAAGCACATCCTTCCCCTCCCCATGGAGCCTTAGAATAAAGCTGGCACTTTGGTTGGTTGGTTGACTGCTGCCTGAGAGACACCGAAACGGAGGACCCAGCTAAGTAAGTTGCACCATGGTTCTTGACCCACAGAAACTGCAAGTTGACGAGTGTGCCCTTTTAAGCTGCTATGGGGGTTGGTGTTACACAGCAATAGGTGTCTAACATAGACACGTAGGCCATTTCTACACTTTCCCTAGGATAGCATCACAGAGGATTGTAATTCTGTTTATTGTATCTGTAACCAGGAAAAAATAGTAAAATGTAAATATACATTACACTGAAGCCTCATTGAGGATGACCTGGTCTTTTCTTGTACTGGTCCACTCTGCCCACAGACCACGGGCATCTCTTACTACTGCTCCTGAGTGCCCACAAGGCAATTCAGTAGTCACCAGTAGAATAAAGTCTTGCCACTTGTCATTCAATACCTGCCATATCATGGCTTTTGTCATTTGTTTGAACCAGGGTCTCACTATGTAGTCCAAGCTGGCCTTGAACTCACAATCCTCCTGCCTCAGCACCCTCCTGGATGCTGGGATTATAGCTGTGCACCACCACACCTAGCTTGCTCACCTCTTATATTAGTTATTACTGCATTTAGGAACTGAAAACATTTTTTCAAGGTGCTGGGAATCAAACCCAGGGACTGTGATGCTAAAGTGCTCTACCACTGAGATATACCCCAGTGTAACTGAAAACATTTACTTTGTGTTTCCATAGGTCAGGAGTCTGGGCACACCTTAGCTGAATACTCTGAAGGGCTGTGACCAAAGCATTGGCCAGGTTTAACTGAGAAACTGCCAAGCTTCTGTGGCTGTTGGTGGCATTTGGGGTCTTGCAGACTGCTGGACTAGGTTTCAGTTTCTCATTGGCCATCAGCCAGAGGCCAGTTCCTGTCACCTGACCATCTCCCCAGGGCAGCTCACCCAACACGACAGCTTGCTCCCTCAAAGCAAGAACTTCTCAGCACGAGGTGCTGATGGCTCAAGTCTAATCCCGGCTACTCAGGAGGCAGAGATCAGGAGGATCGCGGTTTGAAGCCAGCCCAGGCAAATAGTTTTCAAGACCCTATCTCAAAAAACCCTTCACAAAAAAGGACTGGTAGAGTGGCTCAAGGTGTAGTTCCTGAGTTCAAATTCCACTACTGCCAAAAAAAAAAAAGTCACAGGTCTAGTTCCCACTCAAGAGGATTACATAGGCTATGAACACCAGGAAAGGATCACATGGCTACCTGAGTCTACGTGCCATATGCACGCACACATCCCACCCCCCCCGACCCCTGACCCCCATATATCCACATCCTCCCGTGTGGAGTGGCTGGGATCTCACAAAACCCTAAACTCTGTGCTATTCCCTTCAGCCAACCCCAAACCCCCAATGTGTAAGCTCCAGTCAGTGGTGCAATTGGAGAGATGCCTGGTAGTAGAGGCTTTTCTGAGAATCTGGTCCTGTATGGATAGTCTTTTAGTTGTGATTTCACTTGGCAGCCCAGCAGGTCCCTGAAGGTAACTTTCAGGTTAGATCTCTCATGGCCATTTCCTTAAGCCACCTCCTCCCCACCATGGTTATCAGCTCTGGGCTTATTTCCTGATGAAAGGTAAATAGGGACAAATTATCTGATGGGCACCTGCTGCTGGCTGATATGCTTCATCTGAGGCCTGGGATACATAAAGATCCTGTGATCACACCACTCTATGATACAGCCTAGATCCAAAGCCCATCCTAGCACTGACCTCTGGCAGAATATACTGTTTACTTTTTTTCTTTTTTGACAGGCTCTCACTATGTAACCCAGGTTGGTCTCCTCAAACTCCTGATTCTCCTGCCTCAGTCTCCTAAGTGGTAGGATTACAGGTGGGTACCACCACTCTGGCAGAATATACTTCTAATTAAGGGCTTCGTCTAGATCTAAGCTTTCTCATTTCCAGCCTCCAAGCTCTTAGAAGTAACTCATCTAGATAGGCAGTAACATGTTGGGAAACAGACACAAAGTTTACCTTTGATGCAACTCCTTTACTCTTATTCCATGGGGAAGAGGATCCTCAGTTGCATTTCTTTTTCCCCTTACACCATAAAGCCACTGTGGCCATTTTCATAACCCACAATAAAAACTGCCTTTCTTACAGAACTTATGCACAAGAAGCATGGCCTTTTTTACTTTGGCCTCTGAGCAAGTATGCACCCTTCCTACTTGGGAGATGCTTCCACAGGTAGGTCTGAGGAGGAGGCAGGAGACAGAGCCTGGCCCACCCAAACTTCCACACAAAACAAGCCATCCAGCAGTGACCCTAGCTACCACTTTCATTTTGCCAAGGATGAGAAAAAGACTCCAACACACACAGGGGAGGCACTACTGATCATCTTGGGGGAACAGGGTCAAATTTTCCCACTTTTGTCATCCTTATGCTCTGGCTTAGACTCTTATCTGAATTCATGGTCAGTGGTAAGGGAGGTGGTCACGAGCCTACTTTAGCATCCTGGAGAGCTGAGCAGCCATGCAGCCAAAAACACGTTCATCTGACACACATTGACAGAAGTAAAAATATTTATTTATTTTTTTTACCTTAAAAATCTGGTCCCACAAAAAGGGTCAATGCTTTTTTTAGTTCATGGTCTTGACCCTCAAAAAAGAAATCTCAACTGAGAGGTCAGGTTAAGTCAATAAACAACAGAGGCACATTCAAGATGATAAAATGATTTCTTATGAACCAGCAATCCAGCCCACCCTGGGCTTGCAGTTCACTGAGCTCCTTCTATCTGTTACTCATGGTCGCTGAAGGAGACCGCTGAAGTTAGTAAGAGGCTATCTGTAGAAAGTAAAAGACTATCTGTAGATAAGGCACTTCAGAGACCACCAGTGAAAGCACAAGTTCGCCAGGAGTTATGCTGTGGATCTGTGAGCCCAGACAGCTGTCAGTGGGCAGAAAGCTGACCTCAGATCCACAAGCTTCCACCTTCCTGCCCAAACACCGTCCTATCTGGTTTCCAGTGCCTGCACTGCCTGCCTGGCTGGAAGACATGGAAACCAGGAGAGTGAGCAGAGAGCACTGCTTCCTGCAGCTCAGGGCACCCGCTGGCAGCAAGAAGCAACTTCAGAGGCCCTTGCTGTGCACACCATGGGCCCCTTTTGCAAAGATGTGTTAATGCAGGTCAGCACATTAGCGAAGCAAAATATTAAAAATTTTAAAAAGCTGCTTAATCCTTCCAATGTTCCCCAATGGGCCTGTTCAAGCTGCAGCCTAAAGACCTGCTAGAATTTAGGAAGGAATCTTTCTGGAAGGCACCAGACTGAGTGGCTCCAGCCAATGGGAGTGCAAAAAGCCCCCTGCCCAACAGTGATCCCAGGACACCTGCCAACCCTGAGAAGGGCTGATCTGAATCCAGGTTGTAAACTCATTCTGTTGCTTTGAAGTTTGTGTTTAATACAGGCCATTTTGATGAAGGAAGGCAAGGTTCAGTCTCCCCTAACATCAAGAAGACAGTCAGGGGTAGGGATCTGGAGTCTTTCTTCTCCTGTGTTCTAAATACACACATGAATCCCAGAAACAGTGTGACATGGTGCCAATTCACTGCCTCATATGCTTAGTCTGTCAAGGAGAGAACAGTGATGCTCCAGGGGCCAGCCAGAGAATGCTTTGGCTTCCTTCCTTGGACCCAGATGAGGCAGCTCCTTCCCAGAGGTCGGATGAAGAAAGTGTAGTACAGGTCAGAATTGGACCCAGCCTGTGCCTGGCTGAGTCTGGCTGGAAGGTGACCTGTAAGGGAAAGACAGGAAGGGATGGTGGAGCTCAGTTGTTGAGAGCAGATAAAGGTGGCTTCTCTCTGGATAGAAAGAGCTCTAAGAAGTCAGTTTCTACGTAGGCTAGAGAAGCGGCCAGCAAGCTCTGGCCCAGAACCAAATCTGGGCCTCTATGTCTGTGTTTAACCAACATAAACTTCACTTATAAAGGCTCCCTTTTTTTTTTTGTGGTACTGGGGCTTGAACTCAGGGCCTTCACCTTAAGTCACTCCACCAGCCCTTTTTTGTGATGGGTATTTTTAAAATAGGGCCTCAAGAACTATTTGCCCTGGCTGGCTTCAAACCACGATCCTTCTGATCTCCGCCTCCTGGGTAGCTAGGATTACAGGTGTGAGCCACCAGTGCCTGGCCATAAAAGACTCTTAAGTTAGTTGTAGTGTGCGTGGGTGTTTCAGTAAGTAAAGTTTTATTGACACAGAGTCACACCCATCATTCCCATACTGTCTGTAGCTGCTTTCCTGCTGCTGCAGTGAAACTGAGCAGCTAGAACAGAGACAAACATACAGCCTCAAGAGTTAAACCATTCACCAGCTGGTGCTTTATAGAAAACTTGTACAATAAAAGCTGGTGCCGGTGGCTCACACCTGTAATCCTAGCTACTCAGAAGGCAGACATCAGGAGGATCACTCACAGTTCAAAGCTATCCCAGGCAAATAGTTCATGAGACCTTATCTCAAAAAAACCCATCACAAAAAAAGGATGCTGGAATGGCACAAGGGGTAGGCCCTGAGTTCAAACCCCATACCAGAAAAAAAAAAAAAAAAGAAAAGAAAATCTGTGCAATTAAAATTTAGCATAGGGCTGGCAAAGTAGCTCAAGTGGTATAGCACCTGCCTAGCAAGTGCAGGGCACTGAGTTCAACCCCAATACTGTCAAATAAAAACATAAATCATAAACAAAAGAACTCAGCATCTTTCTACCATGACCCTAGTGAAACTTAAGGAGAATTCAGGGAAGGCTAGATATCTGCTCAGAGGATCTATGAAGATGGGCCAGGCCAATCACCTGTCTTAGGCACTGCACAGAGGCACTGGCGACAAGCCAGAGCACTTGGTGAGGTAAGTCAGAGGAAGGTGGCATCAGACAGTGTAGAACAGCAGAAAGCCTTCATGGAGAGGCATGGAGGGCAATTTGCCATACAAAGCTGATGCTATGAGGCTCTGTCCTTTGACTGGCCTGAAAATGTCCAACAAGAGCCAATGCTCTTTGGAAAAACAGTCCTAGCCCAGTGTCCCACCCCCACCCCCCAGCATGTGGCCCTTCTCACCCTGTGGATTTGGTAAAGTCTCCCCAGATGTCAGCAGTGGCAGCAGTGGCAGGCTTGGGCTGTGGCCAAGACACAGAGGCACCTCCTAGTAATGTCCCAAGTCCAATGGATAGGGAGAAAACAGAGAGACAGATGTCAGAGACTCTTTCTGGTTGTCTCAGTGACCAAAGTATGAGGCCCAGTGGCCAGTGTCATGACTCCACAGGGCTGAGAGGACATGAGGAGGCATGTTTTAGAGCAACAGAGCACCAGATGTGCTACATTCCCACTATCTTCTCAAGAGCTTTGAGGAGCTCTGTGGGGAGAAAGCATGAACCACACATGAGGTGAGGGAAGGTTGCCAGCAAGTGTCATGTCATCTGTCACTTGTATCTGAGGCTGTTTCCAACTGCCGAAATCTGTAACTTACTACATCCTGCCCTGACTACTTGAATGGAGAATGCCAACAAAACCACGAGGTCACCTTGATATAAAGCCTGCCGTTGTGTCTGGATCAACCAGCTGAGAACATCACGTGCTAAACTGTGCCAGGTCCTGAGCCCTGCTGGTTAGGCGCTGGGAGGGCCTTCCGGGAGGGGTGGCACAGAAGCAGAGCCTAGGGTTTATCTCTTCATCGGGGGGAGGCACAATGGGCTAAGGTGCCTGCTTCTGAACCTTTCTGACACCTCCCCCACACTGCCAACTGCCCCTTCTGAAGGGCCTGTGCCTGCCGCACTCTGCCTTCCTACTAATTTGCCATTTCTAATCTGTTCTGGGCTGGAAGGTCAGATAAGGTCAGGGCCGTCGATGGTGTGGTTTTACAGTTTACCAAATGCCTGGTGCACATTATCTCATTTGAACATCACCACAGCCTCTAGGGGAAGACAGGTCAGGACTAATCTTGTGACTCTGTGCAAGTCACTTAAGTTTCAGTTTTCTTATCTCTAAAATGGGGACAGGAACAATGATACCTCCTTGGACTGGTGTGAGGAGTAAGTGAGCTATTATATCTGGAATGCTTAGCACAGCCCCAAGCACTGGTGGGGATAATGGTGACAGTATTAATAAAATGACAACTGACATTCAATGAGCTCACAATGTCCAGATACAGCTGAGTGCTGCACCTGGATTAGCTCATTTGACCCTCATAAGAACTTTAACCACAGGCATCATTATTGCCCCATCCTACAGATGAGAAAATGGAGGCATAGAGAAGTAGGCAATTTTCTGATGAAAATTTGTAGCCCACAAACAGTGAGCTACAACCTGACCTCAGCCAGTGTGGTGCTGGAGTAAGTGCTCAATAGTCGTCAGCTAGGGTGACTTTGCTCACTACCAACACCACTGTGATGTAGACATGTTAGCTGCCCACTGAACATTAGAACAAAGCCCCAGAGAGCAGGGACCCTGTCCCTAACTTAATGGTAGTTTGGGTCACAATTTTTTGACTTCATGATGGATTTGCGAGTATTAGACACATTTTCAACTTACGACCATTTTCTATTGTCAAGGGTTTGGCAGGACAACTCATTCATCCTAAGAACCATGGTCCCTGCTGTATCCCCAGGGCTGTGTGTTGCATGTGGCATGTAGCAGGTGCTCCCTATAATCTGCTAAAAAAAGCACCAACAACCAAGGGAAGGATGGAGACAGTGGCTCTCAGCTCTTAGTGAGCACAGAGATAATGGAAGTAAGAATGCAGATTGTTGCTCCTCGATGCCAAAGCAAGTGGTCCTGCAGCCCCACCCTGAAATAACACTTAAAAATAATTTCTGGTGCCAGGGCAGGGGGCTCCCTAGTGACTCCTGCCACCCTTCTGGCTGGGAAAAACCCATAGAGCTCAAGTTGGAAGCCTGACTTCCAGGAAGAGAAGCCAGTATCAGGGACTCTAAGAACCAGGAAAGCAAGATTCATGCCTGGATACTGCCCCCAAGAACTGGGTGACAGCAGTGTGAAAAGGCAAGCTGATGACAATCCCCTAGCCTGAGGAAAGCATAACATCATGCTGGGTGCAGTAGCCAGGTAGGGAAACGCTGGGAAAGGGCTGGCCTTCCAGCGCTAACTTCAGGAATCATGGCACCTCGAACTGCTCATTAGGGGAGCTGCCTCTCAGTTTCCCAGCATCCAACAGTCCACTGAGGAGCCCACTGCAAATGAAATCCCTGCTCACCTCTGCACACCTCATGCTGCATCCATCTTTCTAAGTACACCAGGCATCTGAAAGTCTGAACCCCAGTTATGCTCTTCTGCCTAGAATGCTTCCCCAATCTCCTTCCTTCACAGGATAACTCAATGCCACCTCCTCCAAAAACCCTTCCCAGTGAGATCATGCTGGCAGTTAATATCTAGGCCTACGCAGTTTGCCTGTGTGCATGTGACTTGCTCCTCTCATTAAATGTGAACAGAGATGTGCCTGCATCATTCACTCACTCAATACCCACTGAGGACCCAGGACCTGCCTGCTCTTTTAGGACCCCTGCCTATTAGGAAGGAGGGCACACGACTTGAAGGGAAAGCAGAAGGCATTAGCGGAACAGAAGAATCCCTGAGTGTGTGCAGGATCCATTTTGTGGTGCCCACCTTTCAGTCTGACACACACAAGTACAAAGCGACAAGCCAGTGAGTATGAAGAAGAGAAAGCTGCAGGGCTCCTGCTGCTGGGGAAGAGGAGCTCAGGTGTACACTCAATGATCACCCCAACACTGACCTGAACCAAGAGCAACTGCTGGCTGGACAAGGGAGCCCCCCGCAGACAACTGCTCCCCAGGAGGTGGGATGAGGGTGGAGGTCTTGCCCCCTGGGGGAGGAGGAAGCAAGCTCAGCCCTCCTGTGCTGGCAGGCCGGGCTCGGGGAGTCCCAGCTGCTCCTTCCTTCTTCTTCATGTTCTAAAGAGAGAAAAAGAATGCAAATCAATCTACTCTGCTAGCATTCCAGTGGATCAGAAAACCCCATGAGGAGGGCCAAGGACCCCTCCAACCTCCAAAATCTGTAGAGCCAAAAGATGGTCCTGTCTTGCACCTCCACTGTCAGGAGGTGCACTCAGCCACTCACAAGTCTAAATCCACTACCAATATGATTAATTTTAAAACCCAACACCTGATTTCTTTCACCATCAGGGAACATCTACAGTGATCCACCATTACGCACTGCCAGAATGGCTAAGGCATTGACCACCAAGTACTGACAAGGACATGGAGCAACCAGAACATTTATGCGCTGCTGGTGCAAGGGTAAGTTGGTAAAAACCACTCTGAGAAATTGTTTGGAAGATTCTATAAAGCTCAACATAGAAACTCAGGATGCTGAAATTCCACCCTAAACACAGACCCAACAGTGATGCATGCACTATGTGCGCCAGAGGACATGAACTCAGACATTCACGGCAGCACCATCTGTAGTCGCTCCGAACTGTAAACCGCCCAAATGTCCAGTCTTCAACAGTGAAATGGTGCATCCTAACAAAGGGACAGCCACAACAATGAGAATGGACAGTCATAGTACAACACTGACTGAGAGAGAAGTCACACACACGTAAGACTATGCATCCAAATCAATGTGGAGAAGTTAAGAACGCACGGAAGTTAGGGGTTCTAAGTTAGGATGGGTGGTGTCTGCCGGAAGGCAACAGGAGAGGGGCTGTCACAGCGTTGACAGTCTTCTACTTTTTTGTTTTTTTTTTTAGTATCCCAGGTGGGATGTGAAAGTCTTCTACTTCTTGATGTGGGAACAAGTTTCTATGCTTTTAAGTTCAGTTTTTTAAAATTCACTGAGTTTTAGCTGGGCATGGTGGGGCATCCCCATAATCCCAGTACTCGGGAGGCTGAGGCAGGAGGATCACAAGTTCTAGGCCAGCCTGGGCTATATAGCAAGTTCTTGTCTCAAAAACAACTAAAATTTTAAAAATAAATAATTTCACTGAGTTCTGCATTTATGATTTTTTTTACTTTTCTGCATATTAGACTTCAAAAAAAAAAAAAGTTAGAAAAGCGAAGAGCTGAGTACCAAGCGTGAGCCAGAAAGCAGCAGGAGTCATATAAATGAGATGACATGGTTCCTCCTGGTGAGTTCAGCTTAGTCAAATGTGAGTCCAGCCCCAAAGAGAAAAGGCCTCTAAGCCCTCAGTGTGCATCTAGCTGGCCAGTTACGTCCAGTTCTAGGACCCTGGCCAGCCAAGTCTCTTCACCTCTCTGCGCTTCAATATCCTTGTCTTTTACAAAGGGGGAGGATATTTAATTCATAGGAGAAATGCCTGAAAACACTACCTGGCCCACAGCTGATGCTCATTACATGTTAGTTTCCTCCAAGCAAGATAAAGAATCACATCCCAACCAGTCCACTGGATTGGACTTGTGTTTTCTCTTTAAGGGCCAGTTGACCAACTTCTAGGTCCCAATCATCACCAGCATGAAGCAGAAAAGAGGAGAGAGAGAGATGGTAAGTAAAGAGGAAAAGCATTATTTTAGAGTTACAAACTTTCTGCGAAAACAAACCCATTTGGTCCTCAGTTCCCAAATGACAATTCCAACTGTCTTCCCCCACCACCCCTGCAGCCAGGTAAAGGCCAATGGTTGACAACCCAGCCCACCCCAGCTGGTTCAGCTTGTTTCCTATTCAGCAGGCACTAACGGGGAGCGCTAGATGCAGAAAGAAGATTCAGGGAGCCAGGACACCACCACCAGCAGAAGCTGCCCAGGACTCCAGATACCCTCCTCACCACTTCCTAGCCCAGAATACTCCCAAAGCTTCCATACGAGATACCAGGCATGAGGCACGAGGCACGAGGCACGAGGTCAGGACACAGCTTGGGATGAGTATGCTGAGCCTCCTGACCCTCTCCAACAGCCAGAACAGAAACACCAGCTCTGACAGCAAGTGAATCTCCTTCTCAATTCAGGCTCTACACAGGCTGTTCCCTCTGCCTGAACCATGCTCTGGTCCCTTACCCCTTGCTTGCAGGTCACTCATTCCCTGTGCCCTCCAACACCTAGGCATCACCCATTGGTGGTGGACCCTCTCCTGCCATGTTGTAATCTGTACTTGCTCAGCTCAACTCCAAGCTGCACGACAGTGGAGGTCTCTGTGTATTACAGCATAAACCTGGCACGAGGCAGCTGCTCAGTAAACTGCAGCTACACTGATGGATCTGAATTGTGAGAAGAGTGGAGCTTTGGGCTGAGTGGCTACTAGTGTCATGTGACCATGGACAACATAGTCACAAGGGAGGGTGGGACTCACTGCGATGTTAATCTTGATGGTCTGGCCCTCCTTGAAGCCCAGGTCCAATTTGGGACCTTCATCTGGGTTCTGGGCTTGTTTTGCAAACTCACACTGCTGTTTCACCCACCTGGGAAGGAACAGGAAGAGAAAGGTGAGGCTGGAGAGGCAGCGGCCCTGCGTTCACTCACACCCCCTCAGTCCACGGGGGAGGCCTCTCTGGAGGCTGGCTTGGAATCAAGAATTCAGACTCCAGCTGTGACACTAAGCAGCTACATGCACGTTGACCCAATATGATGCCATGAAAGGTCTTACAGATGCTAAGAGAATTCAAGGAGATCACTTAGAGGGTCCTACCACTAGTCTCCAGAAGTGTAAGAGCCTGCCCTTTCCTCTCTGTAAGCCCCACACACCTGGACACTTCCATATGGTGAGATAAGACAGATACCCAGAAGTAGAGGACAACACAAAGGTCCCTCTCTCTCCACACAATACCATCCAGCAGCCACCCGAGACAGGTCAGGTGGGCAGGCACAGCCCCATGCTGGCAGTCAGAGGCAGAGGAGCACTTTACTGCCCTATCTTTTCACAAAGGACACCAGAGCATCAGCTGGGCAGCCTGGGAATCCAAGCACCACTTACGACATCATGGAGAAGCAGGCCTAGAGAGATCAAATGAGCCTGACAAGGACTCTACTTAGAGGCTAGAGAGGAAGAAATGTGACTCCTTGAAGCCTGGGCCAGCTGACTTGGATGGCAGAGATGGCCTTGAGAAAGGGGGGACTTCACAACAGAGATGAAGACTGGCAGAGCAAAGAGAAGGCGGTATGCTGGGAAGGACTGAGCTTTCCTGAGGCTCTCCTAGCAGATAAACAGTCACTTGTGTATTCTAACCTGGGACATGGTTCTGTCAAGGACAGAAGGGAGGAGGCATACACACAAGTCTCTCAGAAGCACTCACTTGAAATGGTCCTGTAATGCCACGTTGAAGTCGAAGGCATCCCCTCGGTCTGCAAAGCCAATTCCGATAAACGCCCGTCGCCCTGGGAGACATATATGATCAATTCCACTCTTCCAGAGGCAGAGGACCCTATTCTCAAGAGGGGCCTCCCAGACCCACACCTACCATTTCCATCTTCAATGCGGATGACGAAATACCTGCTGGAATCTGTCACACTCTCCACAGCCGAGCCAGGAAACTGATCCACTGGTGCCTGTGCAAAGAGCTCCCCTGAAAGCACAAGTTGGGGTAAGCCTAAAGCCCTCCCAGCCTAGTGTTCCTATTGCACTACTGGGGTCTCTCCCTTGCAAAGAATCTTAGGGAAGCTAGGACAGGTGGGTCAACCTTCCCTGGAATTCAAATCAAATGCATCCAATTTTTTGGTGGGAATGAGATCTCAGGCGCTCTACGGCTTGAACCACACCTCTACTCCATTTCGCTCTGGTTATTTTGGAGATGGGGTCTGGCAAACTAGTTGCCTGGGCTGGCCTCCAACCTTGGTCCTCCTGATCTCAGCCTCCCAAGTAGCTAGGATTATAGGCGTGAGCTACCAGTGCCCAGCCAACCCACAGTTTTAATAATTTTTATTTAATTGCCAAACATTTCAAAATCAAACTACATGTAAAATAATCCAGATTTCTGGTTTCTCTCAAAATTAAAGGCTTGAGCAATGCTGAGCCTCCATTCCCACACAAGAATGTGGCATTGGGACTGCCACTGACCCATTCCATTACACAACCTGCCAGAAATCTGAGGGTTCTGGTGCAGGTAAGCCCTGGTCCAGGTGTATCATACCTGCAGAAAGGCTAAGCAAATGAGATGGGACTGTAAGAAGGGCCAGTGAACCCCATAGAAAGGAGGGAGAAAGTTTTGGACCTATATAGAAGACTCAAAAGCCACTGGATGTGGTGGGATATCCTAGCACTCAGAAGGCTAAGGCAGGAAGATCACAAGTTGAAGGCCAGCCTAGTCCACATGACAAGACCATGTCTTAAAAAAGACAACAATAAAAAAACCTCCTGGGCCGATAAAGTGGCTTAAGCAGTAAAAACACCTGCCTAGCAAGTGTAAGGCCCTGAGTTCAAACCCTAGTGCCACTGAAAAAAAGACTCCAAAAGAGACTGATTCTCGATCCAATCTCAGAAGAGAGGGAGAACTAGTGATTGGTTTTAAAAGGCACCCTTGTGAAATGTGTCCCCTTGACCACCCCAGCTTCCCACAGCTACAGGGCAGCAGAACTGGGAGCATTCGTGACTGACTCCATGTTCATAGGTGCTGATCCCACTGGTGCTATGTCTTTGACCAAACATTCGTTTGCTCTGGTTTTATGAGGCAGGATCTCACTACATAGCTGAGGCTTGCCTTGAACTCACATCTCCCTTTGATTCTAAGTGCTGGGATTATAAGTGTGTACCGCCAAACCTGTCTTAACCAAACATTTTCAACTGAGTCCTGTGGTTTAGACGTGACCAGATAATCCACACTGAACTAAATCAAGTATCATGGTCCACAGACTCTGCAGCTTGTCCATTTATCTACCCCTACTTTGGTATTTTGGAGCCCAGGTCCACCTGGATGCCTCAGGTTTAGAGCGGTGATTCTCAACCAGGGTGATTTTGCTCCCTTTCCTCACAAGGACATCTGGCAAGGTCTGGAGATACTTTGGACTGTCCTAATTCGGAAGGTGCTACTGGTAACTGGTAGGCAGAGGCCAGGGATGCTGTCAAATGTCTTCCATGTTGGACTTAGCTGAACATGTCAACAGTACTGAGGCTGGAAAACCCTGGCCTAGAGGAATATCTCATTACCTTACTGGAAACAAAGATGAAGAACGTGAGCCAGGAGGATCTCAGAATGGGTCCTACAGGCCTGCCTGGGCTCTAAGTAGTAGCTGTCACATTAGGCAGTTATGTTAAAGTCAGAATTCCCAAGTTTCCCAGAGAACAGGTACTGTGATACCCTTGTAACACCACTCAGATGTCCCAGGAATTATCTAGTCAAAACCTCGAGGCTCAGCCACAGCAGCTGTCTCTTCAACTCCTCTGCAGTCAACATGCACTTTGTCATACCAACGTTCCAGAGAAATAAATCAGTATTTTGGGTGGCCTTGAAGTTTATAAAGCAACTGGATAAGTATCTGCTCACGTCCCATTTCCAACAACCTTGTGAGAGAGGAACTACTGTGATCCTCATTGCAACAAAAGGGAGAGCAGGGTGCCAGCAGCTTATGCCTGTAATCTTAGCTACTCAGGAGGCAAAGATCAGAAGGATCACGGTTTGAAGCCGCCCCAGGCAAACAGTTCGAGAGACCCTATCTAGAAAATATTCAACACAAAAATAGGGCTGGTGGAGTGGCAGAAGGTGAGGGCCCTGAGTTCAAGCCCCAGTACCACCAAAAAAAAAAAAAAAAAAAGAAATGGGAGACCAGTGCTCCAGAGGTCACGTGGCTCATCCAAGACCCAACAACTCAGCAGCAGTAGTTCTGATGACAGGCAGCTCTCCCTCTAAATTTCTGCACCTTCTTCTGGTCCATGAAGAGAAATTTCTGCATATCAGAAAAACAAACAACTGATAGGATGCTGTGGCACATGACTGAGCAGGCACTATGCCCAACCCCCGACAGGGGTCTCAGCCTTCGAGGTTCCACAGCCCCGCAGATGCACTGGCCCAGGACTTCCAGAGAGGTTTCCGCAGAGAGAGAATCAGCTGGGCTTGTCCTCTTACCACAGAAAGAGCTAAGTCTGACAGTTCCCAGCACCTTGTTATCAGGCATGGTCAGCTCTGGAGTCAGAGTTTAGTTGATAAACAGATTCCAGAGTAGGAAGCAGAGCTCAGCCACAGAGGGCTGTACATTTATCCACCCAGCTTTGCTTCAAGGCGAGCTCCAGGGCTTCCTACTTCCTATTGGGCCACCCCACAGCTCTCTTCTCTTTAGCCTCCCAAACTGGCAATTTCCTAAGGCAAGTTTCCTGGACAAGAAATATTCATTTTTTTTGTCCAGATGCTGGAGGTTCATGCCTGTACTCTTAGCTACTTCAGAGGCGGAGGAGATGAGGAAGATTGTGGTTCCAGGCCAGCCCAGGAAAAAAAAAAAGGAAGATCCTGCCAGGTGCCAGTAGCTCACACCTGTAATCCTAGTTACTCAGGAGGCAGAGATCAAGAGGATCATGGTTCAAAGCCAGCCTGGGCAAATAGTTCGAGAGACCCTATCTCAAAAAACCCTTCACAAAAATAGGGCTGGTGGAGTAACTCAAGGTAAAGACCCTGAGTTCAAGCCCCAGTACCACAAAAAAAAAAAAAGAAAAAAAAAGCTATCCTATCTCAAAAATACCTAACACAGTCAGGCACCAATTGCTCACATCCCTAATCCTAGCTACTCCAGACACAAAGATCAGGCAGATTGAGGATCGAGACCAGCCTGGGGAAACAGTTCAGGACACCCTATCTCAAAAAATCCAATACAAAAAAGAGCTGACAGAGCAACTAAAATGGTAGAGAACCTACCTAGCAAGTATGAGGCCCTAAATTCAAATTCCAGTATCACCAAAAAAAAAAATTCCTTTTTACATCTGTGGATAGTTTCTACAACTAAGGTTGGGGAATAGAGTCAACTGAAAGGTACACATGGGTCTCCAATTCCCAGCACAGGTACTACGATCCTGAGCTGCCTGGTCTGCCCTGGGCAGCCTCTCCCTTCATCAAGGAAGAGGTCTGGCACTTCAGCCCAATAAGCCTTCCCCGCCCTTACCTGAGGTCCTATCCTCCAGCTTGATGTAGGCCACCTGCCCTTTTGCAGTGATCCGTAGCCGGCCACTCCATGAAGGCTGATCCAGTTGCCACTCTGAAGCCCTGAGGAGACAGAAACCAATGAGCCTCTGCCAGAAGCTCCTGCTTCATTTCTCCAGTGCTGCGGATGAGAATGGGAAGGGCTGCTTGTCCTATATCAAGGGCTGGCAACGTTTTCAATACAGGGAAAGACAGTAAATAGTTCTGGCTTTGCAGCCCGTCACAACTAGGCAACTGTGGTGATAAAAACACTCATCTAGACAATATATGTATGTATGCTGCTTTTATTTTAAGCAAATATTTTCTCTGAGCCTGGCTATATTTCAGTAAAACTGTACAGATACTGAAACTCATATAATTTTCTTTCCTTTTTTTTTTTTTTTTGGTACTGGGGCTTGAATTCTGGGCCTTCACCTTGAGCCACTCCACCATCCCTTCTTTGTGAAGGGTTTTTTCGAGATAGGGTCTCCCAAACTATTTGCCCGGTTGGCTTCAAACTGTGATCTTCCTGATCTCTGCCTCCTGAGTAGCTAGATTACAGGTGTGAGCCACTGGCACCCGGCAGAAACTCATATAATTTTCAAACTGAAATATTCTTCCAAAATTTCCCCATTTAAAAATGTAAAAACCATTCTTAGCCTGTGGATCATTCAAAAACACAGTCAGTTGTAGCTTGCCAAACCCCATTCTAGACTACCTTCTCCCAAGTAGGATTTCCTCCTTTCTGTAGAGGAAGCAGCTGGGGGAAAGGGGAGGCTATTGTTTCTGATTAGGACAACCTAAGGCTATGGAGTTCAGAGTGACCAGTTGGGACACTGAGTCCATCATGGAGGGAAAGTGAAAAGTGGAGCAATCATTCACAGAGAGGAGAGCATGGTACTTCACAGTACATGTGAGTAAAATGAGTGGGTGTTTAGGGAATTTTTTTTTATTATTGTTTTTACATTTACTCACACTGTTTGGGCCACCTCTCCCTATCCCAGGAAATTTATTCTTAAAGGTGTCCCAGGCAGAAGAAAACCCAAGAAACCACAGGCCTATAGCAACAGCCTCTTTTGGCTTGTTTAAGGTAGTAACTTCCAATTTTACTTCAAAGAATGAAGCTCAGTAAAAACCCCTGAAGAGTAGGCACACCGGGTGTTTCCAGCAGGGTTTTTCTAGAAAGTTCCTAAGCAGATGTCAGCTCTCAAAAACTCTGGATGCAGACTGTCACGAGGACCACACAAATGCAGACACTCAATTCTCAAGTCAACCAACTCAATTTCAGTTCCTCTTTCTGGGGCAGCAGGCCTTCAATTCAGGCTAATGAGGGCTCTGAAGTTCAAGTGCAGGGGGTAGCAGCTTCCTCTATGCCTTCCAGCTAGGCTAGACACCTGGTAATCTTGCTCTCTGTGGGACCAAATGGAACCAAATCCATCCTGCTGAAGACCCCACAGGGAATGGGGCAGATGGACCTGGTTTGGTGAACCATCACCAGGTTGATGACAAAAAGCAAATGCAGCAGAGCTTGGTGATGTCCACTTGTGATCTCAGTTTATGGCCGTCCATAAGTAGGAGGATCATGGTCTGAAGCCAGTCCAGGGCAAAAATGCAAAACCCTGCCAAAAATAACTAAAACAAAAAGGGACTGGAGGCATAGCTCAAGTGGTAGAGTGCCTGCCTAGCAAGCACAAGGCCCTGAGTTCAAACCCCAGAACCACAAAAAAAAGCAAATGTTTTTGTTATAATTATGGTTTTCATACCATTTTTAAACTACATCATGCATGAAGTGTTCAGTAAAATATGTTTACTAGAAAATTCTCTTAGTCTGTATTAATACAATTGCAATGTAACAAGAGAACAGATATCTAGACATTCCACCATTCCTGTGGTGCAGGCCAAACCTGTGTAACTTCCAAGCAACCTGGACACACGCTGCCTTCAAGAACCAGTTACCTCTCCCTCACCACCATCACCACTCAGTGGTACAGCCACAGGTCAGGATGTCTGTATCAGAGATGTCTTTTTTTTTTTCTTTTAATATTTTTCATCTTGTTTTTGATAGGCAATGCAAACACAAGGTACTAAATGAAACAGTTTCAACTCTCCTTCCCTAACGCAGTTTCCGGTGATCCCTTCCAGAAATACGCTATACGTTGACAAGCATGTGTTTATTCGTGAAGGTTACACAAGACAGATGCAGATGGACTTCCCCCAACGACTGCAGCCTGCGATCAAGGATGAAATTCGTGCAGAGAGCCGGGCAGGAAAGGGACCTTGGCCATCTGCTCGAAGCTTCCCGGGACCCATCCTTTAGGAGGTTCTGGGTTCCCTCCTCCACACTCCCATCGGGGATGTCCGCAGTGACAGTGCCCCTCCCCCATTAAAGATTTTCAAGGCTCCCTCCAAGGCCATCGGTTGGTGCTGAACAAGAAAGGTTTGTGACACTACCACCCTCGACTAAGTTTAGGGTGCCGGCTGTCCACCGGAGTCCCTAAATTCTAGGCTTCAGCGCCTTCCGCACCGCCAGGGGTCTGGGTCCCTTCCTCCGGCTGGCCTCGAATTGAAGAAGCCGCAGCTTTCCCTCCCCGTCGCCCCTAAACTGGACAGGGTCGTCCTCGGCTGCCGCAGTGGATGTGCTGGGACGGCGGGGAAGGGTTAAGTCAGGGCTAACGGGAGGTCACCTGTAGCCACGGTTGGTGGCCCGCGGTGGGATGCGATAGACGTGGACCTCCGGCTTGACGCAGAGAACCGACTCGTACGCGCCCTCCTCCATCTCGACGCCCGGAGCCCACCGGACTTCCGGCTCTTTCCCCGCCCCCAGGGGGCCGGAAACGGTCCGACTCTATGATCAGGCTCTGGCTAGAGTGGCGGCTCGCGAGCCTCGGCGTCCCCGCTCCTGCGCGCCCTCTACTGGAAGTTCTGGCTCAAGACACTCGGCCCACGGAACCCTAGGGCTCACTTGCAGAGGAATAGGGAGGGTCCTCTGTAGGCTGTTCACCTCCTACACCCTCTCACGCAGAGAAAGCTGCAGTACAAACTCCAGACTAATCCGGGATCCGCTTGGAGGTCATCCCCACCACCTCAGCTCTCACGCCTGGGGTCTGATTGGCTGAGAGGCAAAACCACAGGCTCACCCGGCAGCCACCCTCCTCCAGGCTGTAACCTCATGCTCGCGCCCCAAGGGGGACAAGCTCAACAAGAAACTGTATTCAAAGAAGTGAAGTTTAGTAACACAAGACACTTAAAAAGAATTCCAGCCTTAACTTGGAATCCTCATAGAACATTCTAGGGCATAGGCAAATTCTCAAATTCTTGTCTCCACTCTTCTCTCATTCATTCCCCCACTTATTGGCCATCCACAGTGTGCCAGGCCCTAGGAGATGGCAAATCTGTAACTCACTACCTTCAAACTGTCCTCCCCCTCCCCCTTTTCAATCTGGATAAGCTCTTTATTATAGAAATGATCTAAAGTGGTTAAACAAGCATAATATAAAATTTACCACTTAACTTGGGTGTATGTAGTTGGAATTGAACCCAGGACCTTGGGCATGTTAAGCATGTGCTCTACGGCTGAACTACACCCCAGACATTTTTTTAAAATAAGAGTTACCAGATTTTTCTTTACGTTTTTCTTTTCAGCGGTAGTGGGATTTGAACTCAAGGGCCTTGCCCTTGTCTACCATTTCAGCCCCACACACCCAGCCCTTTTTGCTTTGGTTATTTTTCTGATAGGTCTCCAGGTTTTGCCTGACTGACTTCAGAAGTGATCCTCCTACCTAGTGCCTCCCAGGTAGCTGAGACTACAGACTTCTGCCATCACTACTGGCTTGTTTTTGAGATAGAGTCTTGCTCACTTTTTTGCCTGGGCTGGCCTGAAATAGCAATCTCCCTATGTATGCCTCCCAAGTAGTTGGGATTACAGGCATGAGCCATCACTCCCAATCCTTTTGTTTGTTTGTTTTTTTGGTGGCACTGGGGTTTGAACTCAGGGTCTCACGCATACTAGGCAGGCGCTCTACCACTTAAGCCACTCCACCATCTTACCGTTCTTTTGTAACCGCTCATTACAAGCTTTGATTTTTGCCTTGTAATTCAATTTTGTCATTACCCTGATTCTCTAATACAAGGAAGAAATTGAGAAATGACCTAGAAAATAATAACAGTTCCTTCTCCTAGTTTTTAGGAGCTTCCTAAGGTCCCAGATTGGCAGAACTCCACTAGAGAAGTGGAGCCCACCCCCACCCTCACTTTTTCATGATTTTTTTTGATGTGTCTGCTGTCCTGCTAGACTGTGAGCTTCCTAAGGGCAGGACCATGTCCCTGCCACCTTTGAGGGCCTGGCAGGGAAAAAACTCCATGAACAAATGGATAAGTGTGTATGTACTCCACTGAAATGTATTCCATTCCAAAGCCACGTGGTAATTTGGTGATGGGCCACTATGCTCTCTCTTCTTGCATCAGTGCCTGCCCAAGAACATGGGGACAATGGGACATCCTAGGAGTAAAGGATATGGGTCCATGACTCAGAGAAACTTCCAGCTAGGAGAGGACCAGCTTGCAGGAGCCAAACTTGGGACAGTCTTTGTCCACCACCAGCTCCAAATTCCATTCCCTTCTGCTGTGGAGGCAAGCAGCATGAAAGTGACCATAGTGACTGTTTTGGGACTCCCCATGCAGCTGCCCCAGACGGGAATTCCTTCCTTCTCATGGGTCACAGAGGGAATCTTCTCTCTGTGCTGGGGGACACAAGTCTTAACAAGGTGTGCAAAATATTTTCAGTTCTATTCAGCCTACCAAAGATGGGCGAGGTACTGTGTGCTGGAGCCATTAAAATGAGGCCTGTGTAGCTCCTGCCCCCGTGGAGCTCAGAGGAGAGAAGACTGAAGGAAAAACAGTCTTTTTTCATTCATCATTTGCATGCCAAATGACAGATGCTAGTGAAACCAGAGTTTTTGAACTCAAGACCCAAACCCCTGAGATTCCACATGCCAGGTCCTGTAACTTGTTGCCCCTAAATGCCAAATAAAGAGGCATGGTGAGGGCGGAGAAAGGAAATTTATCACACGGCTCGGGACTTGCCATGGGAAGAGGCAGAGTAAGCACTCAGCTCATCTCATCTTAACGGTAGGGAGTTAAAGGTTTAAACAGAAAAAAGAACTGGGGGCAGGGGACAAAATTATGCATAGTTAAACAGTCCCAGTCGCAGGTGTGTGCTGGTTGACCATTATCTCAGTCCAAGGGTTCCAACAGGGGTTCTGGAGAAGATGTTATCACTGTCATCACTTGAGGGGAGCAATGTGGTTCCCATGACCTGATTGCTCCAGGTGCAGCCTCATCATTATGGGTCATTGTCCTCATTTGGAGGGGTGATCTGTCCTGCAAGTCTCCACTGTTCCTTATGGGAAGTTTCAGTCCCTTGTCATAAAGATGTTATCAGTTATCCTTTCTAGAATCCAAGGTGATTGCAAAGTGACTCCAAAGAGAATGGCCAGAGCAAAGACAGATACAAAATGGAAGCAAGGATGCCATGCTTCTCCTGTTTGTGGTGACTTCGAAGTAAGGAGTCAGTGCTTTTCAGCAAACACAATTTGAGTGCCTCTTACAGGAGGACGGACAAACTCACAGAGGCCATGAGAGCAAAGAGAAGAGAAATGTCAGGGCAAGCTCTCTGGGAGAGGTTTCACTGACACAAGAACCCTGTGAGGTAGGCAGGACAATTGTCATCCTCATTGTGTGACGGGGGCCAGTAAGGCAGTGGCAAGTCTGAGAAAATGACACCATCCTGTACTTGGAGGAGGTCAGACCATCCCTTCCCATAAACCCTAGTCACATGGCTGGACATTCCCAAAATACAGTCTCAAAACCCTGCTGCTGAGAACAGTCGCACCTGCCTCCCACTGCTGGCTTACTACCTTATAGTCAAAGGAATTCAAGCCAGCAGGCAGAGCAAAAGCTGACACAGGCTCATCTGTGCGCGGGAGGTGAGCCCACTATCGCTTCCAGCTGCTTTCGGGTAAGTCCTGGGCCAAGGTGGGGGTTTGATGTAAGCAATTTTTCCTTGACGGCCTCCAAAAGTACATATTTTATAGATCACTTCTCTTTCTCTGTTATGTTTTCCTGCCATCATAGACATTTCTATGAGAAATCCCACCGTTTTGGCTGAGTACCATGTTGCTTAATTACTATTGGGTTTTCTAAAATATGCATCTTGGGATTGGTCAAATTTTAGAGGCAGGCTTTAGGTGGTGATCTACCTTTGTGGCAGGAAGGTCTTCATGTAATATGTGCTTTCTGGCACATAACCCATTCCCTCACTCTATGGAGATTTGCCCCACTCAGTTTAAATTCCTTTATCAGTTGCCCCTCCCCCAACATCCACACGCTGATATGCAAGTAAGGGGCTTGGGTTAAATGCCTTGAAAATGGATCACTACTGACTTAATTTTTAACTGTTACTCAAAAGGGTAAACCTATAGCATATGACTCAGCAATTCCACTCCTGAGTATATACCTGAGAGACATGAAAACACGTTCATACAAAAACCTGTATGTGAGGTCCATATCAGAATTATTCATTATAGCCAAAAAGCAGAAACAACCCAAATTTCTATCAACTGATGGATGAATCAACAAAATATGGTATATTTCCACGCAATGAAATAATACTCAACCATAAAAAGGAACGAGGGCTGGGGTATAGCTCCTGATAGAGCTCTGCCTGGCATGCCTAAGCCCTGGGTTCCATCCCCAGCACACACACACACACACACACACAAAAGGGCTGGAGGGAGTGACTCAAGTGGTAGAGCACCCGCCTAGCAAACAGGAGGCTCTGAGTTCAAATCCCCAACATTGAAAACAAATTGATACTTGCTCTAGCATGAATGAACCTTGAGACACTATAGTGTATGCCCCCACTTTTATTAAATATCCAGAACAGGCAACTGTATAGTGTCAGAAAAGACACTATTACTGGTTGCCAGGAGTAGAAAGATTGGAGGTGATGGCTAAGGAGAGTGGGGTTTCTTTGGGGGGGGCGGTGCTAAAATGTCCTGAAGTGGCCATGAGAACCGAAATCTGTGACTATACTAAACCACTGAATCCTACACTTTCTTTTTTTTTTTTTTTTGGGTAGGACTAGGGTTTGAACTCAGAGCTTTGAACTTGCAAAGCAAGCACTCTACCACTTGAACCACACCTCCAGTCCATTTTGCTCTGGTTATTTTGGAGATGGGGGGTGTCTCTTGAACTATTTGCCTAGACTAGCCTCTAACCATGATTCTCCCAATCTCAGCCTCCCAAGTAGCTAGGATTACAGGCATGAGCCACCACGCTGGCTTGAACCCTCCACTTTCAATGAGTGGATTGGACGGAGCAGGAATTACATCTCAATAAAGCTGCTGCCAAAAAGTGTACCAAATGCTCTAAAGGGGAGCATGATCATCTCTGTCACCTCGGGCTTAGGCTCCAGCCTGTGGAACACTGGGGCCTGACAATTCCGGGGATGAGCCTACACGTTCTGAGGTGGAGACGGTGGACAATGGGGTGGGTTGTCTGAGGACAAGACAGCGCAGAGGAGGGGCATGGTTGGGGAGTTCTAATGGGAGAAAGGTGGGGGGAGAGAGGGACTAACGGGAAGAGAGGCACAGGCCTGACGTCTCTGTGCCAAGTGAGAGCCTAGGGCCCCTGGGAGCCAGAGCTGTGTCAGCCCTGGGTGGGAGGTCGGTCCCCACAGAGCTAAGGCTTGGCTTATATCTTGGGGAGGCAGCAGGAGGGGTCTGCAGGGGAGAGGGAGGAAGTCAGGCTCCAGGTTAACAGTGGCTATCAGGGGTCCCTGGTGAGCTGAGAGCCATCAGGATGCCTAGGTTGTCTCCAAGGTCTGGCATTGTGGGTGGCATAGGCACGGGTCCTTCATGAGTAAGTGAACGAATGGCCCAAGCTTCCTAGGAAGTGAGATGAATTAGTGAGAGAAGCCATCTGGGGAGTCGGACAGGCCCGGGTTTGAACCCAGCTCCTGGGAGACTAGCCATGTGGTACTGGACAAGACACAGGGCCACTCTGAGCCTCGGTTTCCTTATCTTTAAAACAGGGCTGAACCCACTGACTTTGTGGGGCTGTGAGGAGGATACTGCTCACAAGCAAGTCCAAGGAAGAGAGTATCCTCTATGGATACTGGCTGGCCTGCTGGAGTTTAAGGAGGCCCTCAAGGTCACAGGCTCTCCCTGGGGAGGTGGGGGCCATGGGCATAGAAATGGTGCTGCTGCCATCTTCAGGGAATTTGGGGGCTGGGGAGAGGGCTGAGGTGGTTGTAGGCTTGGAGAAGTGGGAACTTGAAGGACAGTGCCAGGGATGGGAATGTTACAGAGGCAGAGAAGTGGACTGCAGGCACAGAGGTGGGACCTGTGGAATTAGGGCCGTAGATGCTGGTGGCACACTACAGATTGCCATCGGGAGACGCTGGGGTCCCCAAGACAGATGGGCACATGTTCCCAATCCTTAAGCCTTAGCTGCATCTAAGAGCATGGCATTTTCACCTGCAGAAGCAGCAACTGTACTATGCATGGGGTCTCTAAAATGTGCATTAGCTACTCAGGAGGTGGAGGTTGGGAGGTTGTGGTTTGAGGCCAGGCAAAGCAAAAAGTTAACAAGATTTCAACTCAATAAACAAGCTGGGAGCGTGGCTTAGATCTGGAATCCCAGCTACACAGGAGGCACAGGTAATCGGAATACAGTCCAAAGCTGACCTGGACAAAAATGCAAGGCTATATCTGAAAAATAACCTATAACAAAAAGACTGGAGGCTTGGGTCAAGTGGTAAAGCACCTTCCTGGCAAGCTCAAGTCCCTGAGTTCGAAAGCTAGTGCTGCCAAAAAAATAAATACATGACTAAAATACACAATAGAGCTTTTTCTTTTTTTGGTGGCACTGGGCTTCACACTTGCAAAGCAGCAGGCACTCTGCCACTGAGCCCCACCTCCAGCCCATTTTGCTCTGGCTATTTTGGAGATGGGTGCTCCTGAGTTATTTGCCTGGGCTGGCCTCCAACCAGATCGTCCCGATCTCAGCCTCCCGAGTAGCTAAGATTACAGGCATGAGCCACTGGCACCTAGCTACATATTAATATTCTTAAGGCTCTGAAAAGTCCTGCAAGAAAGAGCTTGCTTCATTTTGGTTGCTCAGCACTTCCCATCTGCCCTTGGAACCTTGTGCAGGAGGACATCAAGGGGGCATGAGTTCACAAAGCATCCCCCAGAAATGGTGCTGTAGGGGAAGTGGGTAGGACCTGAGTTCCACCAGAAACATGGCTGATGCTGAGTCCACCATATCAGGAGTCAGCCAGGTAGGAGAGACCAATGTGCGAGCTTCAGGTATGGCTGAATCAAGGTGCTAAATGAGTACCTCTTAGCTCTCCCTTTCTCTGTGTTGAACTCATTCTGAAGCAGCCTGTCTCAGCAAAATGGCAAGGATTTCCCCAGTCACCCAGGCTTCTGTGCTCCCATCTCACATGCCCTGCCTCAGTCTCTGATATCACTGCCCTTGGCCTGACTGTGGTCACATGTTCATCACTGAGCCAGTTACCATGGCGATGGGGAGTGGTTTTGATCTCTTGGTATCATAGAGATATCCTAGGATCAATGGACAAGGGAAGGTGTCCTCCCTCCCCCCCCCAAAAAAATGCTGGCCTCTGTAACAAGAAGAGGTGTGGGTGAGCCAACCTTTAAATGCTAGAAGGGGCCCTGCAGCCCCTCGTGGCCTCCAGTCCCTCTCGCCCTTGATTCCCCTGGCAGCTACTCAAGGTCCTCTGGGCTCCTTCCCAGGCCCCATCCTCAGCCAAAGTTGCTGTACTCAGCTTCCCGTCACTATAACAGACACCTGAGCCTATCAACTTATAAAGAGAAAAGGTCTATGTAGCTCCCAGTTTTAGAGGCTTCAGTCCATGATGGGCTGGGCTGGTGGCTTTGGGGCTATGATCACACATCACGGCAGGAGCATGGGATGGGACAAAACCATTCACCTCATGGCCGGGAAGCAAAAGGGAGAAAGGAAGGGACATGCCCCGCTGACCTAACTTCCTCCCATTAGGCCTCACTTTTTAAAAGTTCTTGAAAGTTCCATGACCTCCCAAGAGTCGCTAAGGGAATGATGACTTGGGCCTTAGAGGAAACTTAAGAATCAAACCAGAGCAGCTTTCGTTGACCTCTCAGCCTCTTTCCATCAAACAGACTTCCTTCTTCATGGTTTTTGTTTTGTTTTGGTTTGGTTTGGTTTTCGGTGACACTGGGGCTTGAACTCAGGGCTTCACACTTGCTAGGCAGGCGCTCTACCACTTGAGCCCCTCCTCCACCCAAATGGTCTTCAACTGGTGTCCCAGAAGCATGAGTTGAAGGCACAGGGAAGCTGCTCCCCCACACCCAGTTTCCTCAGAGCCCAAAATGGCTCTGCCGGGCTGGGGATGGGGCTCAGTAGTCTGGCATGTGCTTAGTCCTGAGGTGGGGAGGGAGAGAACGGAGGGGGACGAGGGGAGAGGAAGCCTGCAGTGGGTCCTCTTATTTTCCCCTTTTCTCCTTCTGGGACCCAGCCTAGGGCTCGGTGCTGCTCACATTCTGGGCAGGGCTTCCCTACTTAGTTGATGTTGTCTGGAAACAGCCTTGTAGACATAACCAGACTTTCCTCCTCTTCCTCCTCCTCCATTGTGGTACTGGGGTTTGAACTCAGGGCCTCTTGCTTGCTGGGCAGGCGCTCTACCACTTGAGCCACTCTGCCAGCCCTTTTTCTGCCAGGGCAGGCCTGGACCACAGTCCTCCTATTTGTGCTCCCCCTGATAGGATGACAGGTATGCACTACTGTGCCCGGCCACTAGTTGAGATGGGGTCTTGTGAACTTTTTGCTCATGCTGGCCCTGACTGGCGAGCCTCCCGATATCTACCTCCTGAGTGGCTAGGATTATAGACGTGAGCCACTATACCTGGTTCCTAGGTGCTTCTCAATGCAATCAAGTTGAAAATCCAGATTAACCACCACAAACCCAGCCCTTGTTCCCATGATACCCAAACACATCTCCTTAAACCATAAAATCTCACATCTCCTGATAATGCCATCCTATTATGAACCCTTCAGAGGATTAATCCACTTCCTTCCTAAAACACCATCAGCAGGCAAACAAGCCCTAAATGCCTCAGCGTGTGGGGGTGTTGCCCCTTAAGTAGCTGTGTGACCTTGGGCATGTCTCTGCACCCCTTTGAGCCTTCTTTATTTCATGTATGTGTCACGGGAAGAACAACCTAGGTTAAGGCACCTGGCATAGGCCCTGCCTTGTGGTAGGCACCCCCAATCTTTTATCAATTAATTAATGGAGTCAGGTCTTTGGAGTCTGCTGACCCCACTGAGGTTGGAAGTAGGCCTAAATCACTGGCTCAAGGTTATCCACCTGGAGAGTGATAGACCAAGAAGGTGACCAAAACTTAGTGCCTGGTCAGACGTGTGGCTCACACCTGTAATTCCAGCTACTTGGGAGGTAGAGATTAGGATGATGGAGGTTGGAAGCCAGCCCCACCTCAACAAATAAATCACTTGTGAAATAAATCGGGTGTGGTGGTACCTATCTATAATCTCAACTGTGTGGAAGGCATAGGTAGGAAGATTGTGATCTGAGGCCAGCCCAAAACAAACAAAAAAAAGTAAGAATCTACCTGAAAAATATAAACTAAAGCAAAAAGGGCAAGTGGCAGAGCACCTCTCTGCATGCGAGAAACCCTGAGTTCAAACCCCAGTCCCACCAAAAAAAATCACCTGAACCGGGCACAAGCCAGGCCTAGTGGTATACACCTATAATCCCAGCACTTGGGAGACTGACGCAAGAGTAGCATCACAAGTTCAGGCCACCCCGGTCTCACATAGTGAGAGCCTGTCTCAAAAAATAAAATTTAGCTAGGCACCGGTCACCCACACCTGTAATCCTAGCTACTCAGGAGGCAGAGATCAGGAGGATCAAGGTTCACAGCCAGCCCAGGCAAATAGTTCCTAAGACCCCATCTCAAAAAATTCCATCACCAAAAAGGGCTGGTGGAGTGGCTTAATGTGTAGGCTCTGAGTTGAAACCCCAGAACTGAAGAAAAAGAATAAATAAATAAAATAAAATGAGGGTTGGCAGGGTGGCCCAGTGGTAAAAGGCATATCTAGCTAACATGAGGCCCTGATAAATAAATAAACAAATTTAAAAGGGAAATGAAGAAAGCAAGACCAGGGCTGTGGAAATGTGAAAAGACCTCTCTAAGTTCCCCAGGAGCGCTCCCAAGCTGTCCTCCCCTTGGCTCAGGTGCCAATCAGAATTCAGCTTTATGCCAGAGCCTGAGGTTCTGAGCCTCAGTTTTCAGCTGGGCCAGGTCCTGAACCCCCACCTCCCTGCCCTGCGACTCGGCTCCTCCTCACCTCTTTCCAGCGTCTTCCTCTGTCAGGTGCAGGGATCTCCTGAGCCCTGAGGCCAGGAGGACGCCCAGGGAGGAGTGGGGAGCACAGGGGCTGGGGGCCAGTTCTTGAGCCTCCCCTGGGACATCTTTGTTCTAGGTGCTGTTTCCAGATGCCATAAAAATGGGTAGCAGGACACAGCTTCCAGCTCCAGGAGGCCCGAAGAGGGGGCTCGGACACACAGAAGCATCGGACGAGAGGCCCTGGGAGCTCGGGACCCAGGAACAGAGGCCAGGGTGAGCCGGGGGCATCCGAGAGAGAGAGAGAGAGAGAGAGAGAGAGAGAGAGAGAGAGAGAGAGAACTCCCAGGCTGAGGCAAATCCAGTGGGCCACAACACTCTATAGTTCCCTTTCCTTGCACCAATGGCACTAAATAATTGTGTCAACTTTTTCTTATTTTTTCAGTACTGGGATTTGAACTCAGAGCCTCACACTTGCAAGGCAGGCACTCTACCACTTGACCACTCCACCAACCCTTTTTTGTGACGGGGTTTTTTTGGGATAGGGTCTCCAGAACTGTTTGCCTGGGCTGGCTTCAAACCGCGATCCTCCTGATCTCTGCCTCCTGAGTAGCTAGGATTACACTCGTGACCTTGTGTAGACAGCCTTAAACTGCTCTTTCCTTTCATCTGTTTCTTAAACTATGCTTAAGGGAATACTTTGTGATTCAGGCAAAGTTTTAAGCTTGAGAGATTTTCACTGTGGCATGATTTAAATGCTAAAAAAAAAGAAAAAAAACTGGAAGAAAATTGCCAGGTGCTGGTGGCTCACGCCTGTAATCCTAGCTACTCAGGCAGAGATCAGAAGGATCACAGTTCCAAGCCAGACCTTATCTCGAAAAAACCCATCACAAAGAAAGGGCTGGCGGAGTGGTTGAAGGGGTAAGAGCGCCTGCCTAGCAAGTTGAGGCTCTAAGTTCAAACCCAGTTCTGCCAAAAATAAATAAATAAATAAAATAAAATTGGAAATCCCTTAAATTGGCCACACAATAAGGAAATGGTTAATTATGGTTATTTACAAAAATATGGAATTTTGGACTTGCATTGGAATGTGTGTTTGGTAGGCCCTTTTTGCTTCAGTTATTTCTCAGTTAGGACCTTGAGATTTTTTTTTCATTTTTTTTTATTCATATGTGCATACAATGTTTGGGTCATTTCTCCCCGCTTCCCCCACCCCCTCCCTCTCCCCCCACCCCCTCACTACCAGGCAGAAACTATTTTGCCCTTATCTCTAATTTTGTTGTAGAGAGAGTATAAGCCATAATAGGAAGGACCAAGGGTTTTCACTAGTTGAGATAAGGATAGCTATACAGGGCATTGACTCACATTGATTTCCTGTCGTGTGGTGTACTTCTAGGTTAATTCTTTTTTGATCTAACCTTTTCTCTAGTTCCTGGTTTCCTTTTCCTATTGGCCTCAGTTGCTTTTAAGGTATCTGCTTTAGTTCTCCTGCATTGAGGCAACAAATGCTAGCTAATTTTTTAGGTGTCTTACCTATCCTCACCCTCCTTGTGTGCTCTCGCTTTTATCATGTGCTCCAAAGTCCAATCCCCTTGTGTTTGCCCTTGATCTAATGTCACGTATGAGGAGAACATACGATTTTTGGTCTTTTGGGCCAGGCTAACCTCACTCAGATGATGTTTCTCCAATTCCATCATTTACCAGCAGAATGATAACATTTCATTCTTCTTCATGCTGCATAAAATTCATTGTGATAGATACCCATTTTCTTGATCCATTCGCGTGGTGGGCATCTTGGCTGTTTCCATAACTTGGCTTTATTGTGAATAGTGCTGCAATAACATGGGAATGCAGGTGCTCTGAGTACAGTCTTTTGGGTATATCCCCAACAGTGGTGTTGCTGATCAAATGGTAAGATCGATGTCCAGCTTTTTAAGTAGCCTCCAAATTTTTTTCCAGAGTGGTTTGTACTAGTCTACATTCATCAACAGTGTAAAGGGTTCCTTTTCCCCGTATCCGCCAACACCTGTTGTTGTGGTGTTGCTTGATGAATGGCTATTCTAAACAGGGGTGAGGTGGAATCTTAGCGTGGTTTTTAATTTGCATTTCCTTTATCGCTAGAGACGGTGAGCATTTTTCTGTGTTTTTTGGCCATTTGAATTTCTTCCTTTTGAGAAAGTTCTGTTTAGTTCACTTGCCCATTTCTTTATTGGTTATTAGTTTTGGGAAGAATTTAGTTTTTTAAGTTCCCTATATATTCTGGTTATCAAGTCTTTGTCTGATGTGTAGCTGACAAAATATTTTTCTCCCATTCTGTGGTGTTCTCTTCAGTTTAGAGACCATTTCTTTTGATGAAGAAGCTTTTTAGCTTTATGAGGGTTCCCATTTCTTATGCTATATTCCTTATTTGCTGTGCTGTGGGGTTTCGTTGAGAAGTTCTTACCTATACTACTAACTCAGAGTTATTTCCTACTCTTTCCTGTATCAACTTTAGAGTTTGGGTCTGATATAGTCTTGAATCCATTTTGAGTTAATCTTGTATAGGGTGATATACATGGATCTAGTTTCAGTTTTTTGCAGACTGCTAACCAGTTTTCCCAGCAGTTTTTGTTGAAGAGGCTGCTTTTCTCCATCGTATATTTTTATCTGAGGTTGGCCTCAGACAACGATCCTTCTACTTATAAGCCTCCCACATAGTTGGGATCACAGGAGTGCATCACCATACCCTGCTAATTCTGAGATGGGATCTTGCTAATATTTTGCCAGGGCTGGCCTCAAACATCACATGCATGAGAACAGTGAACATTAAAGTGAAACCAGAAACCACAGAACATTAAAGTGAAACCAGGGAGACATACGTTCAAATCCTGAGCTGCCATCTTTAGCTTTGTGACCCTGGGGTCAAGATTCTCAAGCTTTCTGAAACTTGATTCTCTCTGACTTTTCTGTTTCTTTTTTTTCCCCAAAAAAAACCAATAAATAATACTAAAAAAAAAATTAAATCCTTGGGGAATTTATGCCAGTTCTTCATTTGTTCTCCAGGCATGAAGTATGCCTACTTCTACTCCTGTGCTCCAGGCTGGGAGCTGAGGTGTCCCTTGGTCTGTTGTCCCCCTCAGGAAGCAGTCATCTTGGGTAGCCCTGGAAGGACCTGGGGAGCTGCAGGCAGGCCAGGAAGAGGCCCCACCCGGGAGTGGGCAGGAGATGCTGCCATCCGGACTTGGTGCAATCCCTGAAGGGCTGCAGCAGCTGGGGATAGAGACCGAGGACCAGTGGCGGGGACCCCAGAGCCCAAGGGCTGTGGGGCGTCAGCCCCCGGAGAGCTGTCAGGTAAGAAGGCATGGGATGTGCTCGTGGGCATGGGCTGGCATTTCTCACGGGCAAGTACCCAAGGGTGGGTACGCAATCACACGAATGTCTTGTTTCTTGTTAAGAAACTGCCCTGTGGTTCTTCCAACTGGCTGGGCCACCTGGCGTCCCCACGAGAATTCCAGCTGCTCCAGTGCCTCACAAACTCGATATGGCCTGGTTTGTTTTGTAATCTAAGCAAGTGTGTAGTCAAAATTCACTGTGGCCCTAATTTGCATTTCCCTAGTAACTATTGATGTGCTTACAGGCCATCCCTGTATCATCTTTGGAGAAATGTCTATTCAAATACTTTGCTTGTGATTTTAGTTGAATTTATCACTTTATTGTTGAGTTGTAAGAGTTCTTTTTATGTCCTGGATATTAGACTTTTGTCAGATATATGCTTAACAAATTTTTTCTTCATGCTGTGCCTGTCATTCTGTGGGAACTCTGTCCCTTCCTTTTCTTTCTTTTTTTTTTTTTTTTTGAGATCAGGGCTTCTCCTCCGGTTGTTTTGGAGATGGGGTCTCACAACTATTTGCCCATGCTGGCCTCAAACTGCAATCCTCCCCATCTCAGTCTCCCAAGTAGCTATGTTTGCAGGTGTGAGCCACCAGTTTGCCTTGCTAAATTGACTGTTTTCTTACTGCTGAGTTTGGAGAGCTGTCTACTCTGAATACAAGAACTTTATCACATGTTGTATTTGAAAATGTTTTCTCCAGTGTGTGATTTGTTTCTTCCACTCTTTTAACAGTGACTTTCTGAAGTTCTTAATTTTAATGAAGTCTAGTTTACCAGCTTTTATCTTCTATAGCTCCAGGTTTTGGTGCTGCATCTTAGACGTTTTTCCTTAGCCTAACATCGCACAGGATTTCCTCCTGTTTTTCTTTAGATGCTCAGGGCTCTTACTATGTAGCCCAGGCTGACCTCAAATTCACAATCTTTTTGCCTCTGCCTCCTAATAGCTGGAATTACAGGTACACACCACCATGCCTGGTTCATCATCCATCATCTTTTTTTTTCTCAGTAGTGGAGTTTGCACTCAGGGCTTACACACTTGTGAGGCAGGTGCTCTACTGGTTGAGCCACACCTCCAGCCCTTTTTGCTCTGGTTATCTTGGAGGCAGGGACTTGCTTTTTGCCAGCCCAGCCAGAACCACGATCCTCCTAGTTTAGGCTTCCTGCCATTGCCAGGATGATAGTTGAGTACCACCACATCAGTTTTTTTCATGCGGTAGGGTCCTGCAAACTTTCTTGCCTAGGCTGACCTTGATCTCTGATCCTTCTGATCTTAGCCTCCCACGTAGCTTAGGATGGCAGGTTCAAGGCTTGGGTCAGAATGAGCATGTGTTGGTTGGTCTCCAGGTGAGTGTTGAGGTCTACCTGGGAACCAGGGTGGGGCTCCCCATCTTTGGCATCCTTGTCCTCTGCAGGTCCCAGAGTATCAGTCACCAGGTCACGAGGCAGCAAATGGGTCAGAAGTTGCACAGCCAACAGAGCCTTTTTGCACTTTGGACAGCTGGGGGCAGTCACTGAAAGATGATGTCCCCAGGGAGGAAGGCATCCCACAAGTTAGGCTACAGGAGTCTCTGCCGAAGCCCCGCTCAGGGGCACACGAGACCAGCTCCCAGGAAGCACTGCCACTAATGCCCAGGGTAACTGCAGAGAAAGAGATGGCCAGTTCTCTCTTGCCACTCATGCCAGGACCTCAAATACCCAAAGAAAGGTAAATCTCCCCTCCCCCATGCCATCCCCTGCCCCTACAAGGCTGCTCTTCTCCTAAGTCACAAACTGCTCCCGACCTGCTCTAAGACCTTGGGACCATTACACCTCTCTGAGCATGGCCTCAACTTCCCCATCTGTACTGGCTCTAAGACCAGAACTTGTTCCGTGGGCCTCTGTCCATAAGGATGTGAGAGAATGAGGGGCCAGGGAGATGAGACTGGGGTGTGGGACTGAGTGTCCTGGGGGCTGAGAAGGGGCTGCAAAGGGCAAGCCTGGAGCTGAGCCCTTGTCCCCCCTTCTCTGCCCTGGGATTTCTCCCTTATTTAGACTTGAGGCTGTGGAGACCCAGCCATCACCCAGGCCTCTTCTTTCACCAGTAAGTGGGGTTGGGGGGGGTGAGGAGTGGGATAGTGGGGAATTGTGAGGAGGAAGGGGGTAGAGACAGAAATAGGATAGCTTTGGGAACCAAACTGGGGGATGTGTGAGGGTGAGAGTGTATGTACCTGTGCTGTCCTTGCACATGTGTGTGGCGGTGTGTGCGCGTGTATTGAGTGAAGGTCAAGGTCGCTATTGCACTATAGAACCTTGGGTCCATCCCTGGTCATGGCTACTTCAATGCCAGCACAGCCACACAATCCAAAGCTTCCTGAAATTCAGCACCTGGAGGCTTCCAGCTGTCCCCACCCTACCAGCTGTGCCACACCTGCCCTGTTTCTTTCTGCCCCCTTCCTTGACAATGCCCCAGCCTGGAGTCATTCATCCAGGCCCACAGTGGCAGCCCCAAGCTCAGCTCCCCATGTCAAAGACCCAGTACGGCTGGTGATGTTCCCTTATCAAGCAATGACCATGAGTGTCATTTGCTCCTGGCCTTTCAGGTTGGTCCTTGGCCATATGGCCTCCACCCCAGGGCTTCCCCCACTGCCCTCACCCCTGCTGGATCCCACTTATTATTTGATCTCCTTCCCTCCCCACACAGGATCAATCCCCCCATTCTACAGCGCCAACCTCGGCCCTCGCTCTCCTCTCCTGTGGTCTCCTTCCTTTGCTTCTGTTCCATTCCACCCCTCAGCGGTTTCCACACTCCCTCCTTTCTCTCCAGGTCCCAACAATCTCTACTTTGCAGGATCAAAAGGTCTGTCCTTATAGAGCCTGCCTCAAAAGAGCCTATGACGCTGTGGTCCCTCCCTCCTTGTGACCACAGTCTTCCCCAGACTCAGGGCCCTTCCTAGTTCACTGGCTGCTCCTTCCCAGCCTCGCCTCACGGTCCCCCTCATGGTCTCCACCTCTGCTCGCTCATCTCCGCTCTCCCTGGATGATCGATCCCATTGAGTCTCTGATGGTGTTCCAATCCGCATCTCTAGGCCAGACCTTGCCTTTAAATTGCAGGCTGCCTGACTGAGTTCCTCACACAGGGCTAGTTCACTCCTCAGGCTGAAGGGCCCAGAGCACAATGTTGTACTTTCTACCTCATGCCTGTTCCTCTCCAGTCTCCTCCTCTCAGCAAGCCATCTTGCCTTTCACCTGGGGCTCACAACACTCAGCTCAAACTCATGTCTGGTTCCTCTTTTCCCCCTACAATTCCTTCTCACTCAATGCACCTGTAAGCGTTGCCTAGTACAACCTATAACCGAAATCCCAAAGCCATCCCTTCCTGCCATCACCCTGGTCCCACCTTCATTCTCTTACAGTAAGATTCAGAACCTTCACCAAAGCCCATAAGGCCCTGTTATCTAGCCACTGGTGAGATTTCTTTTTTTTTTTTTTTTTGGTGGTACTGGGGTTTGAACTCAGGGTCTCATGCTTGCTAGGTAGGCACTCTACCACTTGAGCCACTCCGCCAGCCCCCCCTCCCCCCCATGAGATTTCTATCCCTTAGATATGCTAAGCTTATTTCTACCTCAGGGCCTTTGCACATGTTATCGTCTGTGTCTGAAATTCTTCCCATAAATACTCATAGCTGATTCTACAAAGTCATTCAGGTTTCAACTTAAATGTCACTTTTTCAGTAAAACCTTCCCTAGCCACCTGATCTCAAATAGCCTGTAGTCACAGTCACTCTACCTTCTTACGTGTTTTATTGTAGTGCTTTGTAGTATTTCCTTTATCTGGCATGATTATGTTGACTTGTGAACCTGTTATCTAGAACATAAGCTCCATAGTGGCAGCCATTCTAGTTTGCTCACTACTCTGTGATCCTACTCATAGTAGGTATGGGGACTTGATGAATAAGTGAATGGGTGGGGATAATGCCAGGTGCCTTCCTGGGCCAATGAGAGGTCAGATGAGATAATAGGGAACGTTGTCAGGCGCCAGTCACTCATGCCTGTAATCTAGTTGCTTGGAAAGCAGAGATCAGGAGGATCACAGTTCCAAACCAGATGGGGCAAATACTTTTCAAGACCTTATCTTGAAAAAATACCCATCACAAAACAGGACTGGCAGAGTGGCTCACACCTACCTAGCAAGTGTGAGGCCCTGAGCCTAAACCCCAGTACTGCAAGCAAGGAAGGAAGGGAGGAAGGGAGGGAGGGAGGGAAAGAGGGAGGGAGGAAAGAAGGAAGGAAGGAAGGAAGGAAGGAGGGAAGGAAGGAAGAAAAAAAGACTCCTGGAGTGTGCATTTCCTTCTCTTCCTCCCTACCCGGGCATGACCTGGACTAGATCCGTGGGAGAGGACAGAAGAGGGAAGAACAGAGGAGAGGATCCTGGTGAAAATGAGCTTGTCAAAACCAAACCCAGCAGGGAGTACAGAGTGAGGGAAGGTAGTAAGGGGTGGGGGGAAGACACTGGTGGCTCACACCTATAATCTTAGCTACTTGGGAGGTTGAGACCGGGGAGGATTGTGGTTCGAGGCCAGCCCAAGCAAATAGGTTGAAGAGCCCCCATCTCCAAAACAGCCAGAGCAAGATGGACTGAAGGTGGCTCAAGCTGTAGAGCACCTCCTTTGCAAGCAGGAAACCCTGGGGGTATTTGTGTCACCAGGAAAGTTTACTTTGTTTTCTTACAAAGAAAAGAATATAGGGCTGGAGGTGCAGCAACATGGCAGAGTGCACAGAGCATGCATGCATGAGGCTCTGGGCTCTATCCCCCGCACCCACTGCCCAAAAGGAAGGAAGACATATTTACGTACTGACGGGAGTAAACCTGGTGGAGCAAAAGAAAGTGGATGCTTTCAGAAGAGCAAGTGGCTTGGGGCTGGCGGGCTGGCCTGGGGACAGCCTGTCCCTCTGAGGGGAGAGCCCTGATGCAGGAGGTGGCTAGACTGGCTGAATGAATGAGAAATAATATCTTGAGTGCCTCGGATGGGCTGGGTACAGGTGGATCAGGGAGGCAGACAAGGTCCTGCCCTGGAGCCATGCCACTTACATTCCGGTCAAGCTGGCAAACAGCAGGCAGGAGTAAGGTCATCACAGCCTCTGCTGGCTTCAGTGAAGGAAATAAAGTGTTGGGACACAAAATAACCCACCCAAGGTCAAGGGCATAGGTGGGAGGTGGCAGGTCACGTGGGCGAGGACGGGAGTGGGGGCCTAGTAGGAGAGTTGGGGCAAGCCTCCAGGGACTCAGAGAGGCAAGGGCAGTTTGAAGAGACTCTCACAGAGTGGGAGGCAAGGAGAGGCTTTGTGACACATTCCGGGTAAGGAGGCCTCCCAGATGCCCTCCTCTGTCCCCAGGAGGTGAGGGACATTGGCAACAGGAGGGCATCGGACCATGCACAGAAGAAGCTGCAGGAGTTCCAGGCGGCTGCAAGGGTCCAGAGCCCTGGGAACCCCCGGCAGGGCTTCATGAAGTGCTTGCTGGAGGTGGAGGAGGAGGAGGCCACCCATCGGAAGGCCTCAAAGGCCCGGGCCTTGGCAGCCCGGAGGTCCTCTAGGACCCTGACCTCTGTGCCCTCCTCAGGCCCTGTCAACAACTCCACCCCAACCTTGCCTCTGACCCTGCCTCAGACCCCCACCTCCATCTCTACCACCATTCCATTGTGGGCCCGGCCACATTGTGGGCCTGGCTCAGCCCCTGCTCCTGTGGGAGCCTCCATCCCAGGGTCAGTGCCCACCCCGGACCTGGGCTGGAGATGGTCAGACTTAGTGCCCCAGAGCAACGAGAGGAGCCTGGGTTATGCCAAAGCAAGGTAGGAGTCACTGCCCAATGAGCCCCTATCCCGAGCCTTGTCCCCGCCATGAGTCCCTGGCTTCCCTCTTCCACAGTGTTGTCCCTGTCCCCACGCTTGCCTCTTCTCTGTGTGTCAGTCTCTTCTCCATGTGTTTCCCAGCATCCCTCAGGACTCTCTCTTCCTACTTTTGATCTCTCTCTCTCTCTCTCTCTCTCTCTCCATCTGTGCTGGGGATGTAGCCCAGGGCTCAGACTCTCAAAAAACACTTTGACAGCCCCCCTTTCCATTTCCACTTTGACTCCCCTGTCTCTCTACCTCTGCCTTCCCTGTCTCTCTACCTCTGCCTTATCCCTCCTCTGGCCCTACCTCTTCTTGTCATTCTCGGCTTCTCCCTTGGCCACAGGCTGCAGAGCCTTCCTGGGACTGTTTCCCGTGACCTCCTGTCTCCAGCTTCCTCTTTCCTCCATGGTCGTTGTAGCACGTGGGGGCAGAGCCGGGCTGCAGGTTGCCCTGGGCCTGTTTGTCGTCTGCAGGCAGGAGCAGGAAGAACGAGGCCTCAGGCTGTGTCCAAGCTGGGAGGAATGGAATGGGGAGCAGCTCACCTTGAAGCAGGAAGAAGGTGAGGGCAGGCCGGGGACCCTGATGTACAAACTCTGCCCTACTGCCTTATGCAGTGGTCTAGGGGGTTACCTGCACTTGACCTAGGGCACAGAGCACAGGAGGCGGACTGCAGCCTGCTGGGTCATCTGACTTGGAGTCTCACTTGGGGTCTAGTGCTCTATCACCTCCACAGCTTCCTTTGGAGGGGACGGAGGCCCTGCTGAGCTGCAGACTCTGGGGGCCCTTCTGCCTCCCCTGCCCTAAGCCGCTATTCTCCAGAGGCAGCCTGGGGGGGAGATGGGACTCCACCCCGCCTGCTATCCTAAACAGTCCCTCTCCAACTGGCCACCAGCCCTGTACAGATTCTGTTTCTCATCACATCTCACTCCACCAAAAAAAAGTTCAGCACCTAGGGGAGGGTCCCGTGCCTCTGCTCCATATTTCTTTCCCCACATTGCCCAATGCCCTAGAAGAATGGATGTGCATCCTCCCTCCCATCCCCAGCTCCTCCCAAAGTCTGGAACTCTCTTGACCTGAGTGGCCCCTGTTTCTGCCTTCCCTGAAGATGCTACATGGTCCTGTGATACCCTTGAAGCTCACTGCTTTTAGTATTAAAACTCCCTAGCCAGCTGGGCATGGTGGTACATGCCTATAATCCCAGCACTTGAGAAGCTGAGGCAGAAAGATCCAAGTTCAAGGCCAGCAGGGGCTGCATAGCAAGACCCTGTTTTTTTTTTTTTTAGTACTGGGGTTTGAACTCAGGGCCTCACATTTGCTAGGCAGGCGCTCTTATTGCTTGAACCACTCCACTAGCCCAAGACTGTCTCAAACACAAGCAAAAACAAACCCTTGGGCCATTTGGGGGTGGTGTGGAGGTTTTTTTCCCAAGCACAGCCCTGCCCTCTCTGCTGTTCATGAATAACATGTCTCTTTGCTGTGGAGACCTGAGGTTCCTACCATGACGCATCAGCCTCCGTCTGATGAGGAAAGAGGTGACTGCCCTGCTCCCTGGGCACTCTGGCATTTTGTGATTTGGGTGATGGTTGTTTACTTGTTTGTTTGGTATTGAGAATTGCCAAGCAACCTCCACCAGGCATTTTGCTTGTAAGAGCTGTCCTGGTTCTTCCTTCACCATGGGTCCGCCCTACCCCAATCCTACCCACCCTCTTCCCAGTCAGAGACTTGTGGACACACAGAGTCTGCTGCGTGTGGCCCTGGTTTCATGCAAAGGTCAGGAGGGTGTACGGTGGATTTCCCCACCTCCTAGGCCTCCTAGCGGGAATCAAGCTCTGGAGGACGGTGATGTCCCAGAGCCAACCACATTGGTCAGCTTGGGCTTCCATAGCAAGATATCAGTTTCAGCTGGCTGGCTGAAACAGCAGACATTTGCCTTCACGCAGTTCTGGAGTCTGGAAGTCCAAGATCAAGGTGCCAGCTGAGCCGATTTCTCTTGAGTCCTCTCTTCTTGGCTTGCCTTCTCCCTCTGTCCTGTACCTGCAGGCCAGGAATCTTTGTTGTCCAAATTTCCTTCTCCTACATGAGGACAGCAGTCAGACTGGATTAGAGCCCACTCTAATGGCCTCATTGTAACTTAACTGCCTCTTTAAAGACCCTCTCCTCAGGCTGGAGGTGTGGCTTAAGAGGTAGAGCAGCTGCCTGCTAAGCACAAAGTCCTGAGTTCAAACCCCAATACTGCTTTTTTAAAGAAAGTCTCCAAATACAGTTACATAGGTCCTGGAGGGTAGGGCTTTCAACATAGGACTTTGGGCTCACAGTCCAACCCATAAAGAGCATCCCAGCTTGTCACGTGGCAGAGTCACTTGCTGGGCTCTGTTTGTCACCAGTACCTTGAGTACTGGATTCATGATGTCATCAAAAAGAATTTCAGATAAACAAACAAAACCACCACCAACAAAAAGAATTTCAGGACACATCAAGGTAGAGACCAAAAAAAAGTTTATTAGTGAAACAAAGCAAAGGAAAGATAGAAAGATAGTACACACCCAGAAATGGGTGTGGGTGCACTGAGTGCTCTAACATCAGGGATATTTATGGTAGTAAAAGGGTTTGGGGATTTTGGGGATGAGTGCTTCCCTTTGTGCTGGACAGCTGGTGCAGTCAGTCATTCTTCTTGTTACAATATCAATTGGGCCCAAAGCCATCAAGTCTGGTGAGTTTACTGAATTCTGGTCACTGTGGCCATTTCCCCCGAACATCCCTTTAAACAAAGAGTGGGTTTTACCAGATGCTCATTTTAAGCCAAATATCCTCCTTAAGATAATTTTTTTCTGGCCAGTGAGGTGGCTCCTACCTGTAATCCCAGCTATGCAGAAGGTATAGGTAAGAGGATTGCTGTTTGAGGCCGGCCCTGGGAAAAAGCAAGAGACCCTATCTGAAAAATAACTAAAACAAAAAGGCCAAGCAAAACAGCCTGGGGAGTGACTCAAGTGGTAGAGTACCTGTCTAGTGATCATGACGCCCTGAGTTCAAGTCCCAGTAGGGCCACAAACACAAAAGGTTTTTTTTCCTTCTTTGCAAATCCTTCTGTGTTCAAAGGTATTATTTCATCAATTTTTTTTCTCCCCAGCATAAGTGTCTTTTTTAAAAAAACAAAACAGAAAAACATATCCTTTCTCAGTTCCCAGAGTGTAGTCATCATTTGGGCAAGTGACAATGTCAGCTGTGTCTTTTGAACTCTGTTTCAGCTCAGTGAGGGAGTATGAAGACTAAAGCAAAGAGGGCAGTGCTCTTGTGCTTTTTTGTCTTTTTGTTTTGTTTTGTGTTTTTGCGGTACTGGGGCTGGAATTCAGGACCTTCACCTTGAGCCACTCCACCAGCCCTCTTTTGTGAAGGGTCTTTTCGAGATAGGGTCTTGTAAACTATTTTTCCTGGGCTGGCTTCAAACTACGATCCTCCTGTTTCTGCCTCCTGAGTAGCTAGGATTACAGGCATTTTAAATGGAGCTGTTCACTAGCACAAAGTGTATCTCTGAATTCCTGGCTCCTGTTTCCCCGTGCCTCCTTGTCCCAGATCCATCCTGCCTCCTGTTGACCTAGATTTTGCTGTAGGTTGACACACCCTGCACTGCAGGCTTCTGTGTCATGAATGCTGCTGGGAGCCTTTCCCAGCATTCTTCCTGTTCTGACCATAACACAAAGCTCTCCTAGAAGCCAGGTCCGTGCAGAGAAGGGACTGCAGACACCGGGGGCAAGGGTACAGACTTAGAAAGACCTGTCTGGTCACCTCACCGCTGAGCCTCAGTTTCCCCATCTTTACAAAAGGAGTAAGCATTCTACTCCTGCAAGGATGATGAATATGACTAGTAAAGTGCTTACTTAGCCAGCGCTTGGCACAGAGGAGGGTGCCCTATTGTGGGGTGCTCATGAGTAGCTCCTGCCACACCCACCGAACCCCTGACCTGGCCTGGGAGTACAGAGGGCAGTGAATCCAGGGGGCTACTTTTGCTTTTTTTTTTTTTGGTGTACTGGAGTTTGAATTCAGGACCTCACACTTGCTAGGCAGACTCTCTACCACTTAAGAACTCTGCCACACCTTTATTTTGTGATAGGGTTTTTTGAGATAGGGCCTCAAGAAGTTTGCCCAGGCTGGCTTTGGACTGCGATCCTCCTGATCTCTGCCTCCTGAGTAGCTGGGATTACAGGCGTGAGCCACCAGCGCCTGGCTCACTTCTGCTCTTTGAATTAGCTTTGTCCCTCCAGCCAGCATGATGGGTCAGAGACTGGCTGCAGGGATGGTATGAGTGGGGCAACAGCAGCAGCCCCTTCCTGAGAACCCTTCCTCCCCATAGCCTTCCGCAGCTACTATGAGATCTTCAATGGCCCTGGCGAGTTGGATGCACAAAGCCTGAAGAACATCCTGCTCCTCGTGGGCTTCTCCTTGACGCAGGCCCAGGTGGAGGATGCCCTGATAAGTGCTGATGTCAACGGTAGGCAGGTGGCTTCACACCTGAGCCCCAGCAGGGCCCCACACCGGTGTGAGGTCTGAGCAGGCACATGGGGCTGTGTCTTGGAAGGACCCACGCTTGGCTTCATGCCCAGCTGTCAAAATCAGAAAATCTCTCTATAATGTTTGAACAGGAGGCCCCGTCCTGCCTTGACATTGTGCTCTGGGTCCTTCGATTATGTTGCAAGTCCTGGTTCTGAGAGTTAGTGCTCCCTGAGCAACCATTCAGCTCACCTGTGGGGGACCCGGAGATGATCAGGACCCCAAGGTGCAGATGTCCTTGGGGATCCTGTCCCTGCTGGCTCTTGAGATATTCCTCTATGACTCGGTCACTCACAGTGGAATGCCTTGGAGAAGTCACTGAAGTTCTCTTTACCTCAGTTTCTCCATCTGTAAAATAGGCTGACTGTTAGACTGAAGAGAAACACAGCAGGATGGGTGGGAGGTGACTCAACACCAGCAGAGGCTTTACTCTGGAAAGGGAGCCTACGAAGAGGGTCTCCAGCAAGAGGGCCAGAGCCCCCTGCCACGCACAGGTTTGGGGGAGACACGGGGGCTGCCGGTGGAAAAATACCAAAGGTCACTAGATGTTCTTGTGGATCACTAAGGAATCTGTTGCTGGCCAACCAAAGAAGGTGAGCTGTGATTAGGTCACTCATCTGCTCAACTGTCCTTGGCACTCCCCTGGAGATAAACATTAACAACTTTTTGTCAGTCTTTGGGGCCAGGTGGGGAATTTCCAGTAAGCCACCTGTGAGGGGGACAGGGTGAGCTCCTAATATGGCCGTTCACCCTAACACTGACAACGGTACTTAACTCACCAGGCTTCCGTAAAGATGAAGTGAGACAATCCAGACATAACATCTGGTGCAGTGCCTGATTTCAGGAGACATCAGCTGCTGACATCACTCATTCAATAAATAGTTACTAAACGCTACTGCGTGCCCATTGCTCGGCAGAGCTCCAAGGACAGCTGTGTAAGACACACGAGCCTGCTGCTCTCAAGGGGCTCACAGACACAGTTATTGCCATGGGGCAGGGACCGCCACAGAGGGTGTGGAGGCTCACACCTGTAATCCCAGCTACTAGGGAGGAGGATATGGGAGGGTCAGGGTTCGAGGTCAACCTCAGAGAGAAAGTTAGTGAAATCCCATCTCAACAAACAAGCTGGGTATGATAGTACACAGCTTAGTGGGAGGTGTAGGTAAGAAGATTACAGTTTGAGGCTGGCAAAAATAGGAGGTCCTTTACTTATTTATTATTTATTTGAGGCAGTACTGGGGTTTGAACTCAGGGCCTCATGCTTGCTAGGCAGGTGCTCTTCCACTTGAGCAACTCTGCCAGCCCAAAGGGGCAGAGCCTACCCAAAAATTAACTGAAGCCAAAAAGGACTGGGGAGACATAACTCAAGTGTAATAGAGCATCTGCACAGCAAGCATGGGGCCCTGGTTCAAACCCCAGCTCCACCACTACCCCCAAAAAAGGAAGTACCAATGTTAGCAGCACATATATAAGCTTTGAAGAAAGGGTCAGGAAGGAAGGCTTCCTGGAGGAGGTGATGCCCGAGTGGAGTAGTGATGGACTAAGCAGGAGTTAGATGGGGAGAAAAGGAAGAAGGGCATTCTTGGTGGCAGAAATAGTACAAAGGGCAGAGAACAGTGTGAGGGGAGGATCGCTTGGTGGGGCAGGCGAGACACAGGGTGCAGGGAATAGTGGGGCTGTGTGGGACCTGGCCTTGACGGCCCTGCTTCCTCTGCCACCACACACAAGTCCAGAATATGACCTGAGAGGCTGGGGGTGTTGTTCAGTGGTAGAGTGCTTACTTAGCATATGTGAAGCCTTGGGGTTCAGTGCCAGCACTGCAAAAAAAAAAAAAAGAGTTGACCCCAGTTCTACCTCACTGAGCTGAGCAAAAACCTTCTTTTTTTTTTTTTTTATTCATATGTGCATACAATGTTTGGGTCATTTCTCCCCCCTCCCCCACCCCCTCCCTCTCCCCCACCCCACCTTAATTCCCAGCAGAAACTATTTTGCCCTTATCTCTAATTTTGTTGAAGAGAGAGTATAAGCAATAATAGGAAGGACCAAGGGTTTTGCTGGTTGAGATAAGGATAGCTATACAGGGCATTGACTCACATTGATTTCCTGTGCGTGGGTGTTACCTTCTAGGTTAATTCTTTTTAATCTAACCTTTTCTCTAGTTCCTGGGTCCCCTTCTCCTATTGGCCTCAGTTGCTTTAAGGTATCTGCGTTAGTTTCTCTGCGTTGAGGGCAACAAATGCTAGCTAGTTTTTTAGGTGTCTTACCTATCCTCACCCCTCCCTTGTGTGCTCTCGCTTTATCATGTGATCAGAGTCCAATCCCCTTGTTGTGTTTGCCCTTGATCTAATGTCCACATGTGAGGGAGAACATACGATTTTTGGTCTTTTGGGCCAGGCTAACCTCACTCAGAATGATGTTCTCCAATTCCATCCATTTACCAGCGAATGATAACATTTCGTTCTTCTTCATGGCTGCATAAAATTCCATTGTGTATAGATACCACATTTTCTTAATCCATTCGTCAGTGGTGGGACATCTTGGCTGTTTCCATAACTTGGCTATTGTGAATAGTGCTGCAATAAACATGGGTGTGCAGGTGCCTCTGGAGTAACCTGTGTCACAGTCTTTTGGGTTTATCCCCAAGAGTGGTATTGCTGGATCAAATGGTAGATCGATGTCTAGCTTTTTAAGTAGCCTCCAAATTTTTTTCCAGAGTGGTTGTACTAGTCTACATTCCCACCAACAGTGTAAGAGGGTTCCTTTTTCCCCGCATCCTCGCCAACACCTGTTGTTGGTGGTGTTGCTGATGATGGCTATTCTAACAGGGGTGAGGTGGAATCTTAGCATGGTTTTAATTTGCATTTCCTTTATTGCTAGAGATGGTGAGCATTTTTTCATGTGTTTTTTGGCTATTTGAATTTCTTCTTTTGAGGAAGTTCTGTTTAGTTCACTTGCCCATTTCTTTATTGGTTCATTAGTTTTGGGAGAATTTAGTTTTTTAAGTTCTCCATATATTCTGGTTATCAGTTCTTTTGTCTGATGTGTAGCTGGCAAATATTTTCTCCCACTCTGTGGGTGTTCTCTTCAGTTTAGAGAATATTTCTTTTGATGAACAGAAGCTTTTTAGTTTTATGAAGTCCCATTTATCTATGCTATCTCTTAGTTGCTGTGCTGCTGGGGTTCCATTGAGAAAGTTCTTACCTATATCTACTAACTCCAGAGTATTTCCTACTCTTTCCTGTATCAACTTTAGAGTTTGGGGTCTGATATTAAGATCCTTGATCCATTTTGAGTTAATATTGGTTTAGGGTGATATACATGGATCTAGTTTCAGTTTTTTGCAGACTGCTAACCAGTTTTCCCAGCAGTTTTTGTTGAAGAGGCTGCTATTTCTCCATCGTATATTTTTAGCTCCTTTGTCAAAGACAAGTTGGTTATAGTTGTGTGGCTTCATATCTGGGTCCTCTATTCTGTTCCACTGGTCTTCATGTCTGTTTTTGTGCCAGTACCATGCTGTTTTTATTGTTATTGCTTTGTAATATAGTTTTAGTCAGGTATCGTGATACCTCCAGTGTTGTTCTTTTCACTGAGTATTGACTTGGCTATTCGTGGCCTCTTGTGTTTCCAAATAAATTTAACGGTAGATTTTTCAATCTCTTTAATGAATGTCATTGGAATTTTGATGGGAATTGCATTAAACATCATGTACATTACTTTTGGAAGTATCGACATTTTTACTATGTTGATTCTACCAATCCATGAGCATGGGAGATCTCTCCACTTTCTATAGTCTTCCTCAATCTCTTTCTTCAGAAGTGTATAGTTTTCATTGTAGAGGTTGTTCACATCTTTTGTTAGGTTTACACCTAGGTATTTGATTTTTTTGTGAGGCTATTGTAAATGGAATTGTTTTCATATATTCTTTCTCAGTTTGCTCATTGTTACTGTCTAGAAATGCTAATGATTTTTCTATGTTGATTTTATATCCTGCTACCTCGCTGTAGCTATTGATGATGTCTAGGAGCTTTTGAGTGGAGTTGCAAAAACCTTCTTGAGTCTTGCCCTCATCCGTGAGTTGGGGTACAGCCCTAGTCACATGTGTGACTAAAAGATTAGAGACCCTTTAGTCATCTGTCAAGTTGTTCAGAACACCCACTGAGCACAGGACAGAACACACAGTCCTTCCTCCAGAACTGCTATCAAATTCCAGGTGTCACAAGTACATGGGCGAAATACGGGGGTCTCATGACAATGTTTGATGTGGGGTCTCACCGGATTGTCTGAATCTCAGAGGAAGCCACGGTCAAAGGGGAGCAAGCATGGGAGTTGGGGCAGGGAAGGAGAGGATTCCAGGAAGAGGAAGCAGTATGTGCAAAGGCTCTGAGCAGACAACAATGTGGCCTGCGAGGAGAGCTGCTAGTGCTAGGAGCCGGCCACAAGGTGAGCCTGAAGACGGTGACTGGCAGCTCCTGCCAGGGCCTTGAAGCCACAGTGGGAACTTATGGGTCTGTATCCTCCTGCAGTGACTGGCACTTGCATTTCGTGGGCAAGGTGACATGCAGGACCTGATCTAAGCACTTCGTTCATTTCATCTCCCATGACATAGGTGTTGCGAGAGCCATACTCAGAGACAAGAAAACCCAAACTTCCTGGGGTTCAGAGACTTGATCACGTGGCTAGGAAGTGGTGGGTCTGGGATATAAGCCCTGATCCCTGCTTCTGAGACACATGGTCTGGTAGCTTCTAGCCCACGTTTTTTTTTTTTTTTTGTGGTACTAGGGTTTGAACTCAGGGCTTAGTACTTGCTAGGAAGGCACTCTACTGCTTGAGCCACACCTCCAGTCCATTTTGCTCTGATTATTTTGGAGATGAGATCTTGAGAACTATTTACTTAGGCTGGCCTCAAAAAACCTTAATCCTCCTGATCTCAGCCTCCCAAGTAGCCAGGATGGAAGACGTAAGCCACCTCCCCCAGCTATCCCAGGTTTTAGCTCTGCTGTCCTATACATCAAATCTATATTATATTCAGACCCAGTGAGTGAGTGTTGATGCTATGCCTGGGATGCAATGCCTGGGCCTGCTCCTGAAGGCCCCTGCCCACCCTGTTACTCCTCTGGCCTCCGCAGGAGATGGTCATGTGGACTTCAAAGACTTCTTGGCTGTGATGACGGACACCAACCGCTTCTTCTGCTCCATGGGTGAGCAGGGATGAGCCCAGGCTACTCAGAGCTGGAGGAGGGGCCAGGAAGCTGATGGTGTGGGAGACACCCAGGGCCACCCAAGGGTAATGGCAGCCACCATCCCATGTCCCCAGAACAGAATGCCCTGATGGACATGGCCCCCCCAAATCCCCACACGCTACTCTTTGAGATCCTGTCTCTTCTGGTGGAGATGTTAGCCCTGCCGGAGACAGCCTTAGAGGAGATCACAAAGTGAGTGGGGCTGGCTTGTTGGAGGTGAAGGGTGGAGGACATAAAAGTGGTATTTAGTGTTCTGGCAGCTGGAGACTTTGGACATTTAGGACTCTTAGTTGCAAGTGAAAAAAGCCAGTAAATAAAACTGACTTAAGAAGAGGGATGTATTGGCTCAAATAACTGCTCAAGGCTTCAGGAATGGCTGGATCCAGGAGACCAGATGATATCGGTATTTAACTCTCCATCTGTCCGTCTCTGTGTGTGGGAGGCTCAGTTAAGCTGTCCGTGTGGGAAGGATGTGCAGCCCCATACTCGCACTCTCCTAGTCCAGCGACTTCAGCAGGAAGATGAAGTCTTTCCTGCAGTGTCCATACAGCAGTCCCAGGAAAGGATCTGATGGCCCCTGCCTGGGGCCAAAGGAAAGCCTCTGCATGTCTCCAGGGAGGTTGGTGGGTGGATAGTGTGCACCTAAGGAAGAGATGACCACAGGTAAGAGACATAAGCGCTCCAGGGCTAGAGGTGAGGGGTGAGTGTGGAGTGGCCCAGGTGATGTCCAAATAGCAGTGTCAGACCCTGTGCCTCAGTGGGCCTTGGCCTCCAACTTGAGACACTCTCATCCTTGTTGCTGGACAAATGCTAGCTTTCAACAGGGGTGTTTGTGGGAGTCAGATGGGATCAGAGTGCAAAAAGCACTTTGTTGACTGCTCTGCACAGTTTTTATACCTGTTAGAGGAAACCCTGGATTCGAAGGAGGAAGAAAGGTCTGGAGCTCTGTCTGGGCCTCTCACTACTTCTGTAGCCTTAGGCAAGTCACTTTCTCTGAGCCTGTTTCCTCATCTATAAAATGGAGACACATTTCCTTAGCTCTTCAATGAGAGTAACAACCCAACCAGGAGAGCCACTATTATAAATTCTAGTTTGAACCAGTCTGATGTCAGAAGGGCTATGTCAGTCCAGTAGGCAGGGAGAGAGAGACCATAATTTCTTCTTCAGCTTTTTTTTTCCTATTCAAGTCTTCAGTAGATTGGGCGAGGTCCACCCACACTGGGGAAGGCAGCCTGCTTTACTTATTCCATGGATTTTGATGGTTAATCTTATCCTGAGCACGGCTCCTCCCACCAGACACACCCAGAATAACATTTAACCAAATGTTCTGGTGTGGTGGTACACACCTTTAATCCCAGCACTCCGGAGGCTGAGGAAAGAGGATCAAGAATTCTAGGCCAACCTGGGCTATGTAGTGAGACCCTGTCTCAGAACAAAACAACCCCGAAAACCAAAACCAAGTATCTGGGCACACTGTGTCCAGTAAGTTTCCACATAAAATTAGGTGTCATTGCCAGGTGCTGGTGGCTCACGGCTGTAATCCTAGTTACTCAGGAGGCAGAGATCAGGAGGATCGAGTTTGAGGACAGCCTGAGCAAATAGTTCACAAGACCCTATTGTGAAAATAACCAACACAATACAGGACTGGTGGAGTGGTTTAAGTGGTAGAGTGCCTGCCTAGCAAGCGTGAGGCCCTGAGTTCCAATACTGCCAAAAAAAATTAAGCATCGCTTACTGTGTGATGAACAATAAGTTCTTGATAAGGCCTCCTGAGCCCTATCAAGATCAGTAGAATGTGACCATCATCCAGGTCTTTCCAGTCGGCCCCGCCCACCCTCCAGCAGCCACCATTCTTCTAGTATTTCTCATCCCAGAGTGATTTTGCCTCTTACAACTTCATACACATGGATACATACAGTTTTGGGGGCCTCACTTCTCTCCTCAGCAGTGATTTTGAAGTTCATCCATGCCTCCTGACTTCGGGGTAGTACTCTATTCCCACAGCTATGCCATGCTTTACTCATCCATTCTGTTAGTGATGGACTTCTGGGCTGTCTCCCAATTTGGGGTTAGAATGAATAAAGCTGCTGTTAACATTTTTGTGCAAGTCTTTTTGTGGATTTATATTTTTGTTTTTCCTGGATAAATGCCTAGAAGTGGGTTCTCTGGGCCATTGGGTAAGTGTGTTTAGTTATAAGAAACTGTCAGGGCTGAATGCCATGGCTCAAGCCTGTAATCCCAACTACTTAGGAAGCAGAGATTGGGAGGATTGCAGTTTGAGGCAAAAAAATCAATGAGACACCATCTCAACAAATAAGCTGGGCATGGCAGTACATGCCTGTTATCCAGCTATAGGTGGGAGGATTGTGGTCTGAGGCCAGCCTTGGGCAAAAAGGGGCTGAAGGTGTGACTCAAGTTGCAGAGTGCTTCCCTAGCAAGTGCAAGGTTCTAAATGGGAAGGAGGGATGGAGGAAACGAGGGAGGGAGGAAGGGGGAGGGAGGGAGGGGGCAAGGAAGGAAGGAGAGGGGAAAGGAAGGAAGGAGGGAGGGAAGGAAGCAAGCAAGTAAGCCAGGGACTGGTGGAGTGCAAGTATGAAGCCCTGAGTTCAAATGCCTGTGCCATAAAAAAAAAAAAAAAAGTCAGACCTTTTTCCAAATGGTCTGCCCTTTTGGAAAAGGTAAATTCCCAACAGTACATGAGCATTCCAGTTGCTCCTCTTCTCGTGAAAGCGTGGCACTGTCAGTTTTCATTTTAGTTAGCTGGTGGCGGTGTAGCGGTGCATTTTGTTTTACTCACATTTGTTTACACTCCTTATGCTTTACTTGCCATGATCTTGAATTTATGTGGGTAGGATCGCACAATGGGCCTTCTGCTGCTTGTTTTTTCTCTTTGACATTGTTTTGTGGTTCCTCTGTTTTGATGACAAATGCTGATGGCATTTGTCATTGTCACTGCTACACAGTATCGTGCAGCATGTGATGGACAGTAGGGCTGGCTTCAACAACAGGTGCACAAATATTCCTGTCTCCTGCCTGGGACAGATGGGCAAGAGTTCCCCAGAGCAAGCTCTTAAATCTTTTGTTCTCAAGACTCTTACATTCTTAAAAATTATTTAGGACCCCAAGGAGACTTTGTATCAGTATTTTTTTATATTTAGTATTCCATAAAAGGGCGTTTACAATTATCTCTTAATTTATTGGCATAACTATTGTTACCTAAATAACGTTTTTAATGAAAAGTAACTATATTTTTAAAAATTAGCCAGTTGCTGGTAATTTACGCTTGTAATCCTAGCTACTTGGGAGGCTGAGATTGGGAAGATCCAGGTTCCAGGCCAGGCCAGGCCAATAGTTTGCAAGACCCCATCCCCAAAATAACCAGAGCAAAATGGACTGGAGGTGTGGCTCAAGTGGTAGAGTGCCTGCTTTGTAAGTGCAAACCCCTGAGTTCAAACCTCAGTCCTAACAAAAAAAATTGTTCTACAATATTTCAATTTAAAAAACCTTTTTTCTGCAGTACTGTGGTTTGAACTCAGGTCCTCACACTAGCTGAGCAGGTGTTTTACCACTTGAGCTACTCTGCCAGCCTTTTTCAAATCTCTTTAGCATCTGGGATAGAAGGCAGCAGGATGCTCATACTTGCAATGGCAGCAACTCAGTGCTGCCATTGCTTCTTGCTTTGAAGTGTATGAAGAAAATCTGGCCTCACACCAATATGTAATGGAGAAGGAAGTATGTTAATAGTTTTCCCTCTCTTTGGTGATATTGTTTGAACTCAGGACTTTGAGCTTATCAGGCAGGCGCTCTACCACTTAAGCACACTCCCCAGCCCTTTTTGCTTTATTTTTTTTTCTGTGAACTGGCCACTTTCCTGCTTCTTTGGATACCTTGTGATATTTGGTTGCATCCTGGATGTTTTGGTTGCGTACCTTTTTATTTTTGGAGGCCTGGTTTCTTGCTTTGTCAGAACATATTGGGAGGCCTGGTTTCTTGCTTTGTCAGAACATATTGGGAAAAGCCCAGGTGTTTCCTAAGTCCTCTAGAGGACAAGACTCAATTTCCAAGCTTTTCTTCCTGCAGATCCTGCTTTTCCTGCCTTTTAAGGAAGGTCCATAATAGACCCTGTGCTAGGACAGGGATCAGCAAACTGCAGCTGGCCACAACCAGCCTGCCCCAGGTTTATGAAGTCATATCACAACAGTCAACAATTCTCTCTTGCCATAATGGCAGAGTTGAGATTGTGACAGAAACCACCTAGCCTGCAAAACCAAAAACACTTTCTATCCATCCCTTCAGAGAAGTTTGCCCAGCCCTGCTCTAAGTCAGGGTCCTTCGTCCTAGGTGTGGCTTTCCTGATAGCTCAGCTCCATGTTCTAGGGTGTTACTGATATTTAATTGAGGTCTTTCCACTGTGGCTGGATTGGAATCCGCTGTTCTCCTCCAGTGTCTTCTGCTTTCAACACTGTAAGCTTTTTTGGGGGGAGGGGAGGGGCACTGGGGCTTGAACTCAAGGCCTACACCTTGAACCACTCCACCAGCCCTTTTTTTGTGAAGGGTTTTTTCGAGACAGGATCTCGCAAACTACTTTTGCCTGGGCTGGCTTTGAACCTCAATCCTGCTGATCTCTGCTTCTGGAGTAGCTAGGATTGCAAGTGTGAGCCACTGGCCAATATAAGCCTCTGTAGCAAGCCTTAGCACTTTTGCCCTGTGCCAGAGACTTGTAGAGAGCTCCATAGTCATCCACCCACTAGCCCTGGCTTCCTCCTGTCCAATCGCCTGACACCCGGATTCTAGCTGCCCTGAACTCTGGTCTCTACCTTCTGGGTCCTGTAGGACTTGGGTGCTCTCTTTCACTTGCCACACTGTGCATGGAACTATCCCTGGGCAGAGAGCTAGAGCGATTGAGGAGTTAACCTTGTATATCTCCCTTCTCAGCAATCGTAGCAGATTCAGGGTGTGGCAAGGACTTGCTTTCTGGTTCACAGACACACATGGTAGAAAGGGATGAAGATTCCAATAGGCACTAATTAGGCATGAGGACTCCACCCTCATGACCTAATGACCTTTCAAAGGCCCTACCTTCAAAAGTACTATCACTTTGGGAGTAAGGAGTTCAGCACAGGAATTTAGGGGAAGAAACCACCATTCAGACCACAGAAGACGATTAGTCTCTTTACCAGCTACCTAGGGCCCAGGAGGAAGATTTAAAATTATTATTTTTTTTTTTTGGCAGTACTGGGGTCTGAACTCAGGACTTCATACTTGCTAAGCAGGTGCCCTACCACCTGAGCCACTCCACCAGCCCTTTCTTTCTGTGTTGGGTATTTTTGAGATAATGTCTTTCAAACTATTTGCCTGGGCTGGCTTCCAATCCTCCTGATCTCTGCCTCATGAGTAGCTAAATTACAGGCATAAGCCCCCAGTGCCCGGCTTCAATTTCTTTTATGGTAATGACTACTCACATTTTTTACTTCTTTTTGAGTCAGTTTTGGTCACTTCTATTTTTCTAGAATTCATCCAGTTCTAGTTTTCAAATGTAGCCTTTACTTCTTTCTGAGCACCTGGCCCTCTTGATGTATTTGTGTTTCTTGATGGTCTGACTTTTTCACTGGCTATATCCAGGTAGCTGATTCCAGGAAGGAAGGGAAGGAGTGTGAGCAGTGAAAGAGGCAATTCAGGATGTGATACTGAGTCATGCTCCCCAGGATCTTCTGAGGAATGCTGAGTTGTGGGAAAACACACCTTGTCCACCAACTCTTTTTGCCAAGGGTGGGGGCCACAAATGTTTAACTCCTGTGCACCTCTGGGTTGCATGTGTGTCAGAGAACAGCAGAACAGACCTTAAGGTGGGCTCTGTGGTTGTCCCTGTGAAGCCCTTGCAAAAATGGAGTGAGAGGTGGGATTGAGACAATGACACGGAGGGTCCTTGTGTGGTATCTTCTCCCGTCTTCCCCAGGCACTTAGAAGAGTGGTGAGCATATAGGGAATAAATGGAAAAAAACAAAACCAAAAAAACCTCCTAGACACCATAAACACCTTCAGCAAACTAGCAGGATATAAAATCAATTTACAAAAATCAGCAGCCTTTCTATATCCAACAATGAACAGATTGAGAAGCAGATTCACTGAGTGAATACTTGCTGAATGAATGGTGTGGCAGTCTAGTGGGGGGAAATGCAAGTAATAATGAGCTAAGAAATAAAGTGAGTTATAGGCTCCGAGGGACAAGTACAGGCTGTCAGGCACCTGTGGCAGGAGCCTCAATGGTCTGCAGGGAGTGGATGGACAGAAGACTTTTGGGAGGACAAGGAGAGTTAGTGGCACAGCTGCTTTAGAAGCAGTTGCACATCCAAGTGAAAATATCAGAAACAGAAGTCATGGGCACCAAGCACCAATCTGTGCTTGATGGGCCTTGTTATGTGCAGTGATCCATCCCTGCCTCCCCTGGGGAAACCATTCCCCCCTCCCCACTGCACATAGGGGGACTGAGGTCCAGAGCAGGAAGACCTGGGACTAGAACCCAGGTCTCCTGAATGTGGGCTTGTGTTCCTGCTGCAGAGCTGGCCAGGGGTTCAGGAAGAGGGGTGAATTAACCAGTGGGGCTGAACTGGTGGGCACTGCCTCCCCAGCTACTACCAGAAGAAGCTAAAGGAAGGCACCTGCAAGGCCAGAGAGATGGAGTCAGCCATAGGCCGGCTACGGGCTCGGAAGAAGCTTTCCTATAACCCCCAGCATGCAGACAGCTTGGAAGTCCCAGAACGAAGGGTCCTCAGGATCCTGAGCCGGCTAAAGCAGCAGAACTATGGTGAGGTCCCATGGCAGGGCTGGGCGAGCAGAGCCCTGGCCACTTTGCCTGCTTTTTCTAGGTCCCCACACAGCCAGACCCAGGGAGCTGAGTGGCTCCTTGGGAGCCCTTACTAAATGAGCTACCCCACATTCAACTCTACAAGAGGCTCTTGCACTGGACTCTCACCCTCCTGCCCCTGAGTAAAGACTGGTCCTGAGAGCCAGGGCTGGGAAGGGAGCAGCTGTGGAGCAATCCCAGATCACTGGTGACAGAGTACCCACTGGAACCAGTCACATGCATGGCCCTTGGCATGTGCCTAAGTTTACTATCCATGACCACATACCGTCCCCATTTTACAGATGAGAAAAATGGGAACTGAAGTTCAATGGACTGGTCCAGGTGCTCCCAGCTAGGCTGCTGGATAAGTTTGTATCAGGTCATTCTACTAGACAAGGCTGCGTCCCTTGCTAAGGTTCAACTTATTAGGCCCCTACTGTGTGCGAAGTGATGAACTAGGAGCTTGCGATCTCTCGAGTGTGCCTACCAGACTTGGCCAAAACCCATCATCCTAAAGACATCTGCTCGTTTTAAGCTATGGTCAGCCTTTATTCTGTGCCCAGCATTTGGCCAACTGCTTTGCACCTATCACTTCTTTTATCATCATCTACTTTGTGAGGTGGGTACCACCGTAATCACCAGCTTAGAGGTTCAGAGTCATTAAGTGACTTGCTCAAACCCATCCAGTTCATTATGTAGGGAAAGCCAGGATTCCACCTGGGTCTGCTGGCCTCCCAAAGCTGGCAGTTCTCTGAACCGTTCCCAATCCTCCTGCCTCTTCCTCCTTTCACCAGCTGCCAACCTGCAAAGCCCCTATGCCCAAGTGCCCTGTATCCCACTCTGCCCAAGGGTGGATAAGAAGATGGTCCGTCAGAAGCAGGGCAGCCACTACGTACTGGACCAGTGTTCCCTCACTGGCCTGAGCCCCGACCTCCGTAGCCTCTTCTTCCAGTCAGGACTTCAAGGAAGCAGGTAGGTGCTGAGGGCCAGGGCCCTCTGTCCAGGGTCTGTGCATCAGGTAGACCACTTCACTGAAGCAGGAGTACCTAAGCCTTCCTGGGCCTAGGACTCAAGTGGCTGATACCCACCATCTTTCTTAGTCTGGCGCTGCCTCCCTTCCCATGCATAGAACTGAACTCAGCACTCCTCTGCCCTAGCCTGGTTCCATTATTATTGAGAAGCAGGCTCAGCAACTGGGCAGAGAAAAGGGTCCCCTTCTAGGCCCCTGGACTTGGGATCAGGTTCCTAAACCCAACTGGTCAATTCCAGATGACCTCTCTCCCATAGAAACACAGGGCTGGCTCAGGGCTGGCTCATGGCTTGGGTAGAGGATCAAATGTCTCCTACTCTTCTGGCCCACCCCTCTTCCCAGGGAACATAGCTCCGACAGCAGAAAATGGCTCAGCTCCATGCCAGCTCGAACCCTCTGACGCTCTGGAGCCCTGACTGCGGGCAGTTCAAGGCCTGCAGACAACTGGGCAATAAGACAGGGCTGGCTGCTGGAATGTGCTTTTATGGCCTGGTAAGCCAATAAACACCAAGAACCTCACCTTCTGTGCCTGGTGCCAAGGAAGGCCTCACAATTTTCACCAACCTACCTGGCTCTTTTAATACCGGGTTCTGGCCTGGTTCAGTCTTGAGGCAAGGCTGCTCAGGGGCTGGTAGAGTGGCTCAAATGGTAGAGTGCCTGCCTAGCAAGCATGAGGCCCTGAGTTCGAAGCTCAGTACTGCAAACAAGACAAAAAACTCTGCCCAGGGTTGGGAGCACCTGTGCAGCTGCCCGTGGGGCAAAGTCTTGACCTCTGTGCACTCTCAAAACAGAGCTGAGCCCCCTCAGATCAGTGTCTTCCCCGACTTGGGCTGGCAGTCCCACAAAGGCAGTGGTGAACAAAAGTCATGTGCCTGGGAAAGACCTGGCCTCTGAAAGAGGCAGGCTTGTGGAAGAGCAGAGGTGGCCTTAGTGGGTCTCCCTCACAGAGCCCAGGGACCCAGGGCTCTCCTTCCCATGAGTCATCAGGGAGTGAGTCCTTGTCCCACCAATCCACATCCCACTTTCCCTACCCAAGTCTCTCTGGATTGACCAGAGGTAGTTCCTCAGGGTTCAACAAGCAGCCACAGCAGGAGGTAGGAAGCCAGGAACTGAAATGAGGACAAGGATCTGACAAGTTTAAAACATGTATTTAAAATACAATTTATAAAATGCTTAATCTGCCGACTCAGGAGCCCGCGATGCGGGGTGGGGTGGGGTTGGGCAGCTGCCCGCTACACCAGCAGAGTGAGACTGCAGGGGTGTGGCCTTTCCTCCCATCCCCTTCTGTTCAGACATCCAAGGGGCCCATGTGCACCCCTGGAGTCACATGACCAGAATAGGACCCCAGAGGTTTCTTGAGTCTCTGCTTACCAGGGAGGCTGGGTGCAGCCCTGCCAGCCCATCCCTGAGCAGAGCACCCCCAGATGGGGCAGAGCAGGGTATGGCAGGGCAGGGCAGGTAGGTGGGTGGGCGGGGCAGGTGGGCTCTGGAAGGGGCTGATGGCAGCAGATAGGGTGTTGCCTCCTGCCTGCAGGTGGGGAGCACCCTGAGTGAGGGGGCTGAGAAGGGCTGGTCACCAGGCCCGGACCCCCAGCTCCTTTGGTTATAGGCTGACATCAGAGTAGTGGCTCATGGAAAGCGGTTAGCTGGAAAGGCTGAGGCCTGGCTCACGGGGCCTGGAGGAGCTGGGGGAAGGGACAGTACCTTGAAGGCAGATCAAGGGGCAGCAGCCTCAGGTTCCTGCCCCTCACCCCCTGGGGATTTCCAAGCCAAAGCCTGCAACTTACATTTTTAAAAAAGCACTTAAGGAAAGTTACAGACAACTACAAAAAAAAAAAAAAACAAAAAAAACCACACACACACAAAATCAAAACCGTTTTCCCATCTCCCCTCCCACCTCCCCCAACACAAGAGTTTCCTGTTTTCTTTTCTCTCTCTCATTTTGCCTGCCATCTCTCCATCTACAAAGCCAAAGGCATGGCAGCTGGTGGGTAGGGACAGGCACACTGTGGGCAGAGCCCTATCTTTGGCCAAGGGAGGTGAGAACACCACCCCTGCATGTTCTCAATCCACAGACACTCACCAACCAGTGTGCCCCTGGCTCCCACCAGAGAGGGCAAAGCAAGCACAGGTGGTCCCAAGGGCTGAGCAATCAGCACTCTGGCCTTTCCTGCAGGACTACCTCTGCACTCTTCTCCAACCGAAAGGACAGTATCACCTCAGGTCAGAAACCACTAGGATGGGCGCTAGACATTTAGAACGTGGATGGCTGGTCAGGGCAGTGGACTATGATAGCAGCAAACGTTCTTCCTGCCCACTCCTGGGGGTGATCATGTCTCTTACAAGACTGAAGCTCTGTTCTAGTGCCACTTGCAGACAATTCCTGGCTTCCCATAGGCTCTAGGGCTGTACTGCAGACTAGATGCTGACTCAACTGGCCGCCGGCCCTTCCTAAGGGGAAGACATTGTGGGACATGGCAGGGCCTGGCCTACCACTGCCACAGGGCAAAGCCGAGAGCCAAGTGAACCCAAGGTGAAGTGAATTTGCAATTCCTGGCTTGCTACCCTGGCCACCACAGCTGCTCTAATCCAAAAACTACACCAGCCACTCTAACACACATCTGCTGGGTTGGGGGGGTGGGGGACGCTCTCCGACTGGCTGAGGGATAATGCACAGTGCACTGGGAGAGATCAGAGGGCCTGGCTGTCCATACAGAACTGCTCTGGGCAGCTGCCCCCATGGCCTCTTCTTCTCAAAGAGCCAAACAAGTTCCAGAGGCAGGATAAACTACATTCATCCTAGGCCCTCGCTCTGGAAAAAAGGGATGAAGGGCAGCCAGGCCTTTGCAGAACTAGACGGCCATCTACCTTTACAATGCAAAGCTTTTCTCTTCCCAACTTCATTCAGACTGGTCTGCTCCCAAAGTACTGATTTCTCACAGGAAATGTGCCAGTACAGTTACTGAGCTGGGGTCATCAATGGATGGAGCGCCACAGACCCCGAGAGTTCCAGCCTTGCTGGAGTGGGGAGGTCTGTCTACCTTCGGCCACACTAGGCAGAAGGCCTGGAGTCTTGGATCCAGACTCTCTCCTGGTCTTGTGCTGACAGCAGACACTGAATAAGCCTCACACCGCTTGCTTCTAAGCCCAGGAGTGCAGTCTTATTCCCTGATACCTCTCCTCTCTCCTCTAGAAATAGCAAGCCTGGCTGGCAGGGAACCACCCTGAAGAGCAGGGGGAGGGAGAAGTCTGTGACTTTCCCCATCTCCCAAAATACTAGAGGGGGGACTGGCACCCTCCTCAGGCTCTCTGAGCCTACAGAGCTAGCCCTGTCTCCAAGCAGGGCCAAGATGCCCAGGACTTAGCTGGAAGAGGGAAGTATAGGCATGGGGCACTTGTCTATCCTGGGGCTACACAACCCTGCCCCTTTTCTGGGCGGCAGTAGGAATACAGAAGCTAAGCTCACCAAAATCCTATTGGTTAATGTTTCTAGCAAATTTCCCAGAAACATTTTTAAGTAGACTACCAAACTACCCTTCCTCAATTAAAAATTAATAAACTGCTAAAACCCCTCCCATGCACTTTTTCTTGCAAATCAGATATTTGTAAAAACACAAAAATAGGAAGAAAAATAAAAAGGAAAGGATATTTTCAAACGGAACTTACTTTTAAAGTGATGAAGACGCACTTGGGGGTGGGCGGGAGTTCTCATTTGTGTTTTGAAATCCAAATTAATGAGCATGATAAACTGTTATTGCTGGCACTGGCTTTACCCCAAGTGGCCAAGTGGCACTGTCTGACTCTACTCTTGAGTCCTTGGTGGGTCCCCCCAACCCTCCCCTAAACCCCACCCTTTCCCTTTCCATTGACTTGGGACAGCCCTTGTCGATGTGCCAATCACAGTGGGAAGGGGGGGAAGGAGGGAGGTCACAGTGCATGGGGTTCAAGGTCACAGTGGGCGGAGCAAGGGGGATCACAGTGCAAGTAAGTCAGGTCGTTCCCTCTGCTCAAGTCCAGCTGTCTGCCATGGCAGTGCGACCCATGGCAGACGACCCAGGAGGCGGTAATGGCGGCAGCAGTGGCATCTTTTCTTGCCTGCATTTATCTGCGCTGTTTGAAGCCTTGTGACCCATCAGGACCCAAAGGCTGTCTGATCACATTACTGGTCTGCCTGCTGTCTTCAGGTTGGGAGATCCTGGTTGGCCTGAAGAGAAGATCAGAAGATGGTCAGCAGAAAGATATAAAAGATGCCTCCAGAATGCGGGGGTGGGGGGTGGCTCTAGTGGCAGTGTACCTGCCTGGCAAGATGAGTACCTGAGTTCATACTCCAGTACCAAAAAAAAAAAAAAAAAAAACAAACAAAAAACAAAGAAACAAAAACCCCAAATCTACTATACTTGCAGCTGGAGCAGACGCCACAATGGCTACCAGTCATCTCTGGCTGCATAAGCCTGCCTCTTTGGCAAGCAGACTCACAATCTCCAAGTTGGCAAGTACCTGTAGGCAGGTGTGGTTAATGGTCCACTTTCATCTCTAGCAGCTATGGCATTCTCCCCTCTTCAGCTTTCTATTACTCATTTATAGGAAGGGGGAGCGCTCAGGGCCCATCCTGTGCTAGGGCAGTGGCTGTGGGCAGCACATCTTCCATAGAACCTTGTGGCACAGACTCCCCAGTGCCAAACCAGATAAAAGACCACTAGCCATCAGCTCAGGAATGACTAGGAACCCTCCATCTTGCCTCCTGTTTCTCTATAAACCATGTGGTTAGTGGCTGACTCATATTACCAGAGAAGTACAAAGGAAATGGTCTGGAAAGATGACTGAAAAAAATAGAACAATGTCCCTTCAAAACAAGGAAGGGACTCAAAGTCCATGCCTTTTAACTTTTGCGCACCACTGCCTCCTGGTGCCTGTAGACTACAGAGGCAGCCCACCAGCAAACCCCATCTCCTGACCTCAGAGGAGCCCCAACCACTGTAGTACAGACCATGAGAGACCCAGAAAGTTGGTGGGACAGCTGGAGCTGGAGCAGTTACTACTGAGTCAGCTTGCTTCTCACTATTCTGCATGCAGCCAGGCCCCCCTCCTCCTGGGCAGCCTCAGTGTCTATACTTACCTGTCGAGGATGGGTTTTTCCTGCTCCTCTTCTGGGCTGGCGCTGCCCAGGATCCGCTTCCGGGCTTCAGCGTACTCGGCCTCCCGCTGTGCTAGGGACTTGACTGGAAGGGTGGGTCTGCTGGTAGAGTTGGGGCTGCTGACCACACCGTTGCTGGTGGGCCTCTTGAGGATTCGGATCTGTGGAGGGGGCCCCGTGGGAAGGCTATCGTCTTGAATCACAATGGGCACTTTGGGAGGAGATTTGGATTTCCTGCTGACAAAGAGCAAGCACAGCTTCACATATCCCACCGTGATCAGAAAACCAATCCATGTCCCACACCTCCCCCATCATTGTCCTTTCCCTTCCCACTAACTCTATTCATCTGGCCTCTGACCAGACACCCAAACACTCATTCAAGAGGGTCTCTCAAGAAAGCAGCTTCACCAGTACACAGAAACTGCCCCACAGACCTAATTCTTGGCAGGGGCCAGCTCACGCCTTGTTCTGGGACTTTACATGTGCATCACAGGCAAAACATTCCATGTCCAAATCCAATGACTTCAGTTAAAGTTCCAACTTCCCTCCATTGAGTGTGAGAGGCTGTTTAGGTGGGAGCCCCTCAGGCAGGCCTTCACTGTGTGCACTCAAATCAGTCAAAATACTACACAGGAGCCTGCTACATCATCCCGGCCTGGCATTGAGACAGACTTAAACCAAATTGCCTCCACCTTCCAGCTAATGATCTATGCCTCCCGGAGACAAGCTGTGCCAAACAACCAAGTCACCTCTTCAGGAGAGCTTCTGAGTAGAGAAACCTCCTTTACCAGGGCTCTCTGGTTTGTTGGACAGCGGCGGGGCTGGGGTGAAGGCTGATCCTAGAAACAGTGCTTGGCAATGGTCAAAAGAGAAGCATTGTCCAAGGCTGGTGGATGTGCACATCAAGGCCATGTGTCCACAAGGAGAGATGGGATTTACAAAATGCAAAGAGGGAAAACAACACAGGGAGGGAAGGAAACAAAAGCCACAGAAAGAGAAGGGGACTGAGGCTGGAATGACCACCCACACCGGCCACCAGGCCCCTCCCAGAGCAGTCAACTAGCTTTTCTTCAGAACCAAGCAGGCCTTCAGGGGCCTTTTTCCAGACCCATGAGTTGTCAGATGTGGGGACAGAGGAAGCCAGTTTAACTGGAAGGAGTCCTGGGTGAGACCAAAATGGCATGGAAAGGGACCTGTGACCAGAGGGCAGAGTTCCTGAGATAAGCAAATAAGAAACCAGCAGTCTGACTACAGCAGGAGCCAGGAAAGCCAGTGGGCAGGCAGCACCCAAGAGTCCCCTGGGGCACGGCAAAGTGCAGCCTGTTAAGCAAATCCAAGTTCTACTGTCCTTTCTGCCGCTTGTCCCTGGGGACAGGTTACCTAAGCCCAAAGTCAACTTTTACCTGTTCTGAAACCCACTTCCTCTGCCGTGTGGATGGTAAACAAAACTAGCCTTTAATGGTCTTTCAAGAATTTCCCAGAATCTTTAATACCCTAAACCATCAAGTCACCAAGGCCCCAGAGAAATCTGTCCAAACTCCTCAAGTCAGAGGAAGAAAATTATGTCCATGGGGGAAACAACTTGCCCCAAACCTTAGAGCAATTGGGACACAGCCAGATCTGAAACCAAATCTTGCTACTTAGCACCTCCCCACTTTCCATCAGGTGACCTCACATAGGGACCCACTGAGGTGGGAGGAGGTACAACACCTCCACCTCATCCAAAAGCCTCAAGCCACCAGTCCTGGTCTCCAACTGGGAGGGAAGGGATAGCTGCCCAGGAGCCTGACCTGCTAACCCTAACGGCCAGCTGGAGAACACTGACTGCCCAGCTCTCCAGCAACAGAGCTCGAGCCCTCACACCAGACAGCAGCCTTACCTCTCCTTTTGTGTGATCTTCAGTTTTTTTTCCAACCGTCTGTCTATTTCCTAGAGGAAAAAAATGTATATAAAAAGTGGAAAAATCTCTCTCAAATAAAAACTTAAGTCTTATTTTCAGAGCTAAGGGCAGTGTCCTCTCTAGCCAGGGACACAACTGTGTCCTTTGAGGTAATGGACATGGACTAGACTCTGGGGTGTGGGGACCTAACTCCCTCTGGGTACATCTCCCTCTAACCCCTTGGCCATAGCAATAGTTCTGGACCTCTCAGCTGGGTTCTTTGCACAGCTTCCAACCAGTCTCTTGGCCTGCCTTTCACAAATTCACTTACATCAACTTTCTCAATATAAATCTTCCCCACTTAAATTCCTTCAACTGAGGCAGGAAAATGTCTGAGCTCTAAAGCATGCCTTGCCCGCCCGCACCTCCTCCTGTCTTCTGTTCCTGTTTTATACTACAGCTATACTGAACTATTGGGCCCCAGAACCCAGCATGCTGCTCCACCTGCCTGCTATGTTCTTGCCTCTTGCAAACTCCCACTTAGCCTGCACAACCCAGATGCCTCCACCCTGTATAAAGTCTTCTCTACTAGCACCAGCATGGTGGATCACCTGCTGCTCACGGAGGGGGGGGGAAACTCTTACTCCCCTCATGGCCACATGCATCAACTACTTCATAATCTACTTTTTACTTATACACAGTTGAACCCTTAGTGACTAGTACCTAGCAAAAGGCCTAGAGTAAAACAGAAGTGCAATGTTTGTGGAACTGAAGTCCAAAGTCTCCAGACCCCAGGGGATCCGAAGAAGAGAAGACTATGGATTTCTCTGGGAACCACAGTCTGTAGGTCCTAATTAACACAAAGCCACCACTTTAGAAAAAAAAGCAAAAGGAGATGCTGAGAAAGATTCAACACGTTCTGGCCCTGATCTCCCACTGTGGCAGGCCAGAACCAGGTTGGTCCTAACCTCAGTTCTGGGTAGGACATCAGCACCTTCATCAGGCAGTTTGAGCCCTCTGCCCCCAGCACTAGGAATTCTGGATGCTTCCATATACTGGGTGTGCATGTACATACACATTGCACGTACACACGCGTGCGCGCGTGAGCACACACACACACACACACACACACACACACACACACACACACACACACAGGCCAAACTTTTAGTCTCCCTGGCTGTCCCACTGCTTTTCCTTAGAAAATATCCCATTCAGCCAGGCATGGTGATACAGGTCTACAATCCTAGCACTTGGGAGGCTGAGGTGGGAGGATTACAAGCTCAAGGCCAGCCTAGGCTACAGAAATAGACCCTGTCTCACTCACACCCTCCAAAAAAGGAGAAGACGTCCTATTCCCCAAGGATAAGACCTTTGTCCTTGGGGAAGTCCTATTGGAAGAGGGAGAAATTGTCTGTAAAATCATGTGTTTCTCTGGAGAGCAGATCTACAATGGCAATTCTCAACCATAGGTGATTGTGTCTCCCAGAGGACATGTGGCAAGATGCCATTGGGTAGCAGGCAGAGAAGCGGCTTAACATGCTATAATGCCCAAGGCAGCCCCTACAAGAATCAACTAGCCCCAAAAGTGAATAGTTTCAAGGTTGGGAAACCCTGATTTATAAGATACAAGAGAGTTTCAAAGGACTCCATCACCCAAAAAACATTCAGAACCACAGCCATATTGAGGAGGCTCTACTCCCAGTCAAGGTGATGGCCAGTGTGCTGAGTATTCTAATACCCTGAAAATGGCTGCATCTAGACGTGATAGGTAGTTCACTCTGGCTAGCTTTAGTCAACTCTTCCAAATTTTTACTGATTCATTTAAACTACTGACCATGGAAGGAATTTACTCTGTCTAGTAAATTAAACAGTTTATCATCATGAGGTGGTCTTGGCCTTAAAACCCATTTTTTAATCTTAATAAAGTTAGGCCAGCTTTCTTTGGCAGTATTTCCTGAAATATGTTTCTCTTACCTTTCCATGTCCTATTTGTGTCTTTTACAAATAATACAAACTTAGATTAACCATAGGAAGCTAGATTTAAATCAAATCTAAAACTGACACTCATTCTGACTTAAGCTGAATTGTGTTTAAGATATATTTGGGCAGCAGGCGCTGGTGGCTCACATCTGTAATCCTAGCTATTTAGGAGGCAGAGATCAGGAGGATGGTGGTTCAAAGCCAGCCCCAGGCAAATAGTCCGTTGAGACCCTATCTTGAAAAAACACTTCACAAAAAAGGGCTGGTGGAGTGGCTCAAGGTGTAGGCCCTAAGTTCAAAACCAGTACCACACATTAGAGAGGGAGAGACTGATTTGGGCAAGCACAACATATATTCTGGAATAGCTGGGAAATCAGGGAAACCTTTCACTCCAGTCTGGAACAAAGTTGTGCCCAATGAAACATTCAATAACTGAGTAGAAAAGGTACACTCACAGTAAGAGAATAACCTGGATTTTTCTGTGAACTCACACAGACACACAGAATCTATGCCCACTGCATAGTCTGTGTCAGAACTGTATTAATTCTACTAACACCAGTGTTATTTCTTGAGTAAATACAATTGTCTGTTACTTTAAAATCTATTACCTTTCAAGGACTTTTTAAGATTTTTCACTGTAATTTCTTGCTTTATTAAAGTTCCACACTGCATCACTTTGCACCAGTCTGAAAATAAGACTGTCTATTCAAGTTTCCCACCATAAATGTAAGATTTAACATTGTGGAATTTAAATGCCTTTAAACAGGGCTGAAACTAAGTGGATGTCCAGGTCAGGCGAATAGCCAAACTCTGCAGGCAGAAGCAAACCTGGGGAATTAAGAGAGCTGTGGGCCTCCAAAGAGTGCTTTCTCTGTCTAAAGATGAAGACAGGCCACTTCTACGTCTTGGTTGACTAGGCCAGATCTACTATGAGGACCTGAATTCAAGATTTTTTTTTAATGGCAAAGCTCTGATTTTTTTTCCGCAGTAGTGGGGTTTGATTTCAGGACCTTGTGCGTACTAAGCAGGTACTTTACCACCTGAGCCACAACCCCAGCCCAAAGCTCTGAATTTTCAAACTTCACTATGTGAATTCCACTTTCATATCACTGTGAGGACCAAAACTCCCGAAAGAGGCAAGTAGTTCTGAAACATTAGCCAAATCTTAGCATTCCTTCCTTCTCTAGAACTATAGGGAAGAATGAGATCTGCCTGGTCCCAGCACATGGACCTGGGTATAAAGAAGCCCTTCAAGAGGACACTGTAGGCTATGTTGGACTAAATGTGCCTCAGTCTCCAACCAGAATATGAGCACCATTCTTGGCATACAATTGTACTGGATTGTGAATTAATGTCCGACATAAAGGTAAGCCACTGGTAAAAGTCATTAGATATCGATCCTCTCTGTCATCTTTCAGCACACTGGCACTCCAATAACTAAAACTTTCATCCAACCTGCCACATCAGGCAAGATGGTTTTGTCAGAACTGGAGAAGGATTCTTCCATCAGATTACAGAGTGGGATAGAAACCCACGCAGCTTTAGTGGAAGACAAATCCCAGCCATCTTCAGATGGCCAGCCCAACACCAGCATGCTCAGAGCAATCCAAGCAGAAGGGGACGTGCTCTACCAGAAGCTGGATAGGGCCCTACAGCTTGCTCTGGAGTCTGTCCATGTGTCATGAGTCAGTCTACTCTCTGCTTGGACAAGGCTTTGCAATCATCTGCTCCCAGACTCATAAGCTGGCCCAAGTCACAACTTTCCTATAGAGCACACTCAAAGGAGAATGGGAGTCTCCTCCAGAGATATAATGGACCTCACAAAGCTGCAAGATGCAGGCCTGAAGTAAGTAATGGAGTTACCCTTTTACAAGGATACATAGAGTGCTACCCATGGTCAAGGTCCCCATGCTAGGCCTCTATGGCTAGTAGAAGAAACAAAAGCTCTAAGATGCTGCTCTGAGTTGGGTACAAGGCAGGTGAGCCATAAATACCCATGGAGCCTCACAGGAAAGTCTAATAAGCTGTGGCTTCTCCTCCCAGAAAGCTCCTTGTTTTCTGCAAAGTAGCATCTAGCAGGCTCTAGAAAATGACACTCTGGACTCTGACAAGTGGGAAGGTTTCCTTTCTCTGAGTCCAAATACTAAGAAAAGATCTACTGTTGCCAATCCTAGGTATTACTTGCCCTGTGGAGCTACACTATCACAAAAACAAAACACATAGACTTTTTAGTCTGATTTGGTCAGAGAGAACAAGCAAAACCTGAGGAAAGCATGGAGAATCGTGGGAAGGGAGTAGTTCTGAATAGGCCAGTCTTTTGAGGAAGGCAAAGGGCAGTTCATGATGGGCACCAGGTGGCTCATGCCTATCATCCTAGCTATTCAGAAGGCAGAGGTCACGAGGATCAAGGTTGGAAGCCAACCCCAGGCAAATAGTTGACGATACCCTATCTTGAAAATACCCAACATGAAAAAGGGCTGGCAGAGTGATACTGATAGAGCACCTGTGAGGCCCCGAGTTCAGTGCTCAAACCCCAGTGCCACAGGAAAAAAAAAAAAAAAAGAGTCCAGTCATAAGGTGAGAGAAAACAGATGTAACGTCTTCAAGCTCAACTCACCTGAGGGAAACATAGTTTCCCTGGTTGCTGATGACCTTAACCTCACAAAGAACGTGCTTGTGTAAGCCTAGGATTATGGTGGGATAAGATCATTCCAGAGAAGGAAGGTGGGGAAGAAAGTACCTCAAACAGTCTAGTTTGTTACACAAACACACTCTGAACAAGGAGACAAAAAAGGAGGGAGGCTATAATAGTAGGTACACTCCTGTAACATTAAGAAAGGAAAACAGAAAGGTGAAAGGGGGAAAGGCAGAGGAGAGAAATAAATAGGCTATTCTGGGCCTTTGGTGTGAAGTGCAGCAAGTGCTACCCACTGGAGCTACACCTTTTTAGGTGGAAGCATTCGGGGAACAGACCTCATGTTAGAGTTGACCTAAGGGTGATGAAGCCCTGGGGGACTGATTGAAACCAGCCAAACTCACAAAAGACAGAGTAAACAAGCCCAAATCC